ATGATCAGTTCTGTGTGGTAGCAAAGCTCCCAGACTGCCCTTGGACAGCAGCCACCTTAATTTCAGGTTTAAGGCAGCCAGAGGAATGCTCTGCCTGGTCTAAGGAATCAGTTCTTCCACCCAGTTGCTCTATGAGTAGCTTGCTCAGTCATGCATGGTCACACTGCCCAAAACCTGTCTAAATAGGCAGTGATGACCAAGACTGAAACTACTCAAATCAGGAACTTTCCAGTCTGACAAGTAAAAAAACAAGATTTCCGCTCCACACTTGCTGAGCGCAGGCCAGGCCCTTCCTTGCTTTGTGTTTGGTGCTCCTGGTTCCTTCTGAAAGCCACTGTGAAGGGACACAACCCTCAGGGGAGCAGCAGGTTCAGGGTAAAGCTGCACCTTGCAGCTAAAACATTCCCACGGCTCGAGGCTACCAAAAAAGGGGAGACTGAATTCCTCCCCCACACGCCTTGTTTGTCTCCTTTCCCGGTCTCCAGCCAACCTTAGATCGTTCACCAGGGTCCCTGCAGGCAGAGACTGGCAGAAAGCAGCATTTTTGGCCAGGGCTTGGCCAGTGGACGGATCTAAGAGCTCCAGAGTCATGAGACACACGGAGGAGCTCAGCCAGGCACTCCTCAGCCAGCGACTCGAGGGCAAAGGGTGAGCTGCCAGGGTTGGGCCGAGGTGCCAGGAACCCCGGGAGCAGTGAAGATGTTCAGTCAGGCCCCCAAAGGGTTCTCTTACAAAGCATTTCTGCAGTCAGGAGGTGCAGGTTGAGCAACAGGCTGACATCAGCTAAAACAACAGCCTGGGGGAGGGAGTGGCTCCGAGGCGAAACCACGTGGGCATTTCTTAGGTCATCAAGTAAAACAGGAGTTTCTTCTGACTGGGAAAAAAAAAAAAGAAGCCAGAATTGCAGCATTGTTACTTAATCCAGGAAATTTTGTTCAGCAGGGACCAGCAGGCTCAGCATGATCACACAAAAAAGCTGCCAGCCTTTGCTTGGAATTCTTAGGCATCCCTGCATCCCTGCCTCAGCCAGGTTCAGCTAGCAGTGGGGAGTGCCTGAAAAGGGCAATTCCAACCTCTTCCCCTGCCTGTGTTTACTCCCATGTACTCTGCTCTACCTCCCTACCAGGCTCTACCTCCCTACCTGTAAACTTCAAGAGGAACAGTGAAGTTCATCTTGAACTTCAGGGCCATCTCCGTCAGCCTAGGAAGGGAAAGAAGATCCACTTCCAGAGTTTTCTACTGGAAACCCTTGTCCTTTGCATCACCAGGTTGGTCCTTCTTGCAAGGCTGTGCCATCACAAAGTTCATCAGGTGGGAATGGGAGGGTTCAATACCTTCTTGCTGCATTTCAGAGGCCAGAAAAGCAGCTCAATCCACAGAGAAGAGTACTTCCCAAATTATTTCCACCTAAACTGCCCCCCAGTCACACCACAGCCACAGAGACCTACAATAACAAGGATGACAAGCTGGGAAGCAGCTGGGAACTGCAGAGACTGGGAAAAAAATGGAGGAAAGGGACTGAGAATCTGTGTTTCCACAGCCACATCCAGCATAAGAACCACCAGTGCACGGAGAGGAGGAGGAATAGGAAGAGAAAGTGACACCACCATTACTTTAGAGCAACTGGAAACTTTCTCTTCTTGATCCAGGGCCTTAAGAAGTGTCTTTTTCCAGAAGCAACTGGGAGGAGAGGGTTCTTCCCCTTTCCCCATATCACCCTCAGCCACAGCCAGCCCCATCTCGCTGTTTCAGAGAGTTTCTGCTTTTCTGTCAGGTGGGAGGATCAGGATTGAGCAACAGCACCCAAGAAAGCAACCAAACCCTGAGGTTTGGATTAGCAACCGGGAAGCAGGGAAGAATCTCTTCCCGACCAGCACATGACTTTTACTCATCTTCTTTGCTGAGAATGAGAGAACAATTCATTCTCAGGCAACGTGCTTTGCCTGATATCTACAAGAACCAAACTGACAAAGTCACGATTCATTGGCCAAGGACAAGTTTTAAGCCCCACTTTTTTTCTCCCCTTTGAAAACTTGTGTTATAACAGAAATATGGAGATGAAGGGAAGTTAATTAGCTTTAATTTCAGCTCTAATTTCAGTCCAGTTGCCTTGGGAAGAATGCTGTCCTTTGCAGCTCTCTCTAGGAGGATTCCTGAAACTCTGTTAACATTCCCATCTTGTATCCAGCACCAGGATTGGAGTCAAGAATTAGAGCACTGGGAAGCGGGTCACAACTCCCAGCACTCCTCCTCCCATTCCAACCCCCAAACGCAGAAGCTTCATGGAATTTTGGGGAGGGTGGAAGGACAACAAAGCTGCCAGTGGTGCCTTCCAGTGCCATTGCACGGGCACAGCTCACACACCACCCCGATCCTGTCACGGGAAAACTCCTTTTCCTGGAAGTCCTTCCCACTCTGTCGGTCTTCACACTCATCTGCTCTGCTTCCTGAAGCAGTGTCACAGCCCGCTCGAATCTTCTGTCCCGTGGCAGAACTGATCCCAGCGGCACTTCCAGCCCGGGGGTGTGTGTTTATCCCAGTGTGTCCCGGGTTGTCCTGGTGTGTCCTGGAGTGTGTCCCGGTTTGTCCCCGTTTGTCCCGGTGTGCCCCGGTGTGTCCCCGTTTGTCCCAGTGTGTCCCGGTTTATCCCGGTTTGTCCTGGTGTGTCCCTGTTTGTCCCGGTGTGTCCCTGTGTGTCCCAGTTTGTCCCGGTGTGTCCCGGTGTGTCCCTGTTTGTCCCGGTTTATCCCGGTTTGTCCCGGTGTGTCCCGGTGTGTCCCGATTTATCCCGGTTTGTCCCCGTGTGTCCGGGTTTGTCCCTGTTTGTCCCGGTGTATCCCGGTGTATCCCGGTGTGTCCCGGTGTGTCCCGATTTATCCCGGTTTGTCCCGGCCGGGCCACGCGGGGGCGCCCCCGCTGCGCTGCCGCCCACGGCCGGCAGGGGGCGCTACGGGCGGAGGCGCGCCCCCGAGCCAATCAGTGCGCTCGCCGCCCCGGGGCACGCTGGGAGTTGTAGTCCTCCGCCATCGCCGCTCCCGGGGCCCGGCGGGGCCCCTCCGCTGGTGTGCGGGACGGCTCCCGCACTGCACCCGCCTCACGGACACTCGAGGATCGGCAGGGTGTTCCGTACCACCCCCCAGCGCTGCCGGGATGGGGTATCGCTGTCGCGCTGCGATGATGTCACCGGCGCTGGCAGAGCCTCGCGCAGCCCTGTGGATTATTCCCGGTGTTCTTTCCCTGTGCAATGACGATCATTTCCCTGTGCAATTATAATAAATTGCAATAATGGTGGTGCGTGTCCTCCTGGCTCTGTGAGCTGCTCACAGCTGCAGCGCTGTCGCTGTACTCGCGGCTCCCTGCTGGGATGTGGCACTCAGGACATGCTCAGGGCTGGGTTAAGGTCTGGACACGATTCCAGACTTTTTTTCCCGACCTTAATGGTTCCACGATCTCACAGCGCTTCCCACAGCCTGGTTTCTCAGCAGCCCGAGCCGCAGTTACGTGGCTGGGCCATCTCGGGGTTGGACCTTGGGCACCTGGCACGGGGAGCTGGAAACTGGGGAGGGCACGGCAGGGCAGGGGTACAGAGCTGCTCTGGATCCAGGGGAGAAAGGGTTTGCCTCCTCTGAGCTTGCTAGCCCGAGAAATTACCGTTTTGTAAAACGAGATCCTGATTATCATTGAATCATAGGATCCCAGAATGGTTTGGGTTGGAAGGGACCATAAGGATCATAGCATTCCAACCCCATGCCATGGTCAGGATCAGGTTGTTCCAAGCCCTCTCCAACCTGGCCTTCAACGCCTCCGGGGATGGGGTGGCCACAGCTTCTCTGGAAATCCCGTGCCAAGGCCCTAACCACCCTCACTTCCCTCACAGGGAAGAATTCCTTCTAAATATCCCATCTAACCCCGCCTCTGTCAGTGGGGAGCATTCTGTGGGCTTGGAAAGGATGGGATTAGGAAACCTGTAGTTTAATTTAGAGTGACAAGGAGCAGTCAGGGGCAACTAGAAGGGCTTCTACAAACACCAGCAAGTGGAAAATCCACCAAAAAAAGGGTCCAGTGCTGAAATGTCAGGAACTCTGTGAGCCAAAGCAGAAGCACTACACCCACGTTGTACCAGGATACAATTAATACTTGTTTATACTGAACCCAGACACAGGCACACTACAAAAGTCTGTCTTGATATCAGTGTGTGTGTGTTCTGTAGCAGTGCCAGTCCCATAACCACCACCAAGCATTTCATAACACAATTAGGCAGAAATAAAAACCTAATTACGTTGTGGGAAAGGGAAACAAGGGCTTGTGGTCTGCAGGCAGAAAGGGATGATGGAAAAATACATGCAAGTAGGAAAACTGTCAGGAACACGGGAGGAGAACAAGCCTGAAAAGTGTCTGGGGGGAGCAGAACAGGCAGGGAGGTGCCTGGTGAAACCTGAACAAGTCCAGCCACAAAAGTATGATAACATACATAAGGAAACAAATAAATAAATAAACAAGAGACTCCTTTCTCTGTAGTGGGTATGGCAGAAGTGGCTGCCAAATGAGGGGAGTATTTTCCCTGTAGAAAAGCATTTGGCTTTCTGAATTTAATACAGACAATCACACCCATGTGTGATAATTGTTTTAATTGGACTTTTCTTTCAAGCATCTTGGTGAGGAGTTGTCTCGATTATTGTAATCTGCAAAAATATAACTTTCTTCTGCATTTAGGATAGACCCTTTATGGACAGTGAGGGGAAAGAGATAATGGAATCCTGCAATTGTTTGGGTTGGAAGGGACCTTAAAGACCATGTAGATCCAGGGATGGGATCCACCCACTGGATCCTTCTGGGATGGGATCCACCTGACCTGAACGTCTGTTGGACAGGGTGAATCACCTTCTCAGTTGGCTGCTTTTTCCCAGTGATTACCAAATGGACCCGGGAAGCAAACCCAGATGTGGATATTCCTAACAACTCACCCCCATTTAGCCCAGCGGTTCCCATAACTGGTGCTTTTATTGTGTTTCGCCCTGGAAACGCACCCTAAGAAACCCCTGAGAAAAGACCCTCCTCTCCAGTGTCCTCCTCAGGGCATCCTTCACCTCTTTGTTCCTCAGGCTGTAAATCAGGGGGTTCAGCATGGGGAAGACGAGAGTGTAAAGCGCAGACACAGCTTTGTCTGTGCCCAGGGGGGAGTGGTTGGAGCTGGGCTTCAGGTAGGTGAAGAGGAGGGAGCCGTAGAACAGCCCCACGGCTGTCAGGTGGGAGCTGCAGGTGTGGAAGGCTTTGTGCCTGCTGTCGGTCACCTGGATGCGGGACAAGGTGCTGAGGATGCAGGTGTAGGACAGGGCGATGCTCAGGAAGGTGCTGGTCTGGATGAGGCCGCACAGGGTGACGAGCAGGGCCCGGTTGAGGCGCGTGTCGGAGCGGGGCAGCTCCAGCAGGGCTGGGATGTCGCAGAAGAAGTGGTCGATGCGGCCGGAGCCGCAGAACCGCAGCGAGAACGTGAGGGACGTGTGGACCAGCGAGGTCAGAGCCCCGCTGAGGAACGCCCCGGCCACCAGGGAGGTGCAGGTCCCGTGGGACATGGCCACAGGGTAGAGGAGAGGGTGACAAACAGCCACGTAGCGGTCGTAGGCCATGGCGGCCAGAACGAGGCACTCGGCGTCGATGGAGGCGGCCAAGAGGAACATCTGCATCCCACAGCCCAGGGAAGAGATGGCTTTGTGCTGGGACAAGAGGTTCACCAGCATCTTGGGAGCGATGGCCGAGGAACAGCTGAGGTCTAGGAAGGATAAATTGCTCAGGAAATAATACATGGGGGTGTGAAGGTGGGCGTTGAGCCGGACGAGCACCACGAGGCAGACGTTCCCCACCAAGGTGGTGCCATAGATGAGCAGGAAGAGCCCAAACAAAGGAATCTCCACCTCAGGCCGGTCTGTGAAACCCAGGAGAATGAACTCAGTCAGGGCAGTGCAGTTTCCTTCAGGCATTTCATTCCCTTGTGTTTGGCTTTGTGCACAGAAGATTTGTCAGGGGTTGACTCGGCCCCGGTGGGTGTCGAGGCACAGACACATCACATCCTGCACAGGAAAAAGGGGTGGAAATTCAGGCACCTTGCCCAAGTCAGAAGGGAAACCAGTGGTTTGGGTGATGCCCATGGAAAGGAAAGCTTAGGAGGACAAAGGGAGCTTTAGAGACATATTTTAAATGTGGAATTCCTTCCTTTAATATCTGTGAAATAGGAGCTCAGGTGGGATTTTATAAGGTCTGGGCCGTAGTGTATAGAAAACCAAACATATAAACCCCCACCAGAGGTATAGAAGAGACTCCATATCCTTCTTTCTTGGAGAAGGCTTGGTGCATCCTAAAATCTGAATTATTTTCTGCAAGTGACTGCTTACTCCAGAAAATGTCTGGGTTGACTCAGATAAGCACAATATCACTTGACAAAAACCATATTATTTGAGTATAAAAGCTGCTACATATTTACCTGTGTTTCAAATAGAGGAAGCAGTTCAGGCACAGTTAATAATGACTTTTCTGAAGCAGCAGGAAAATGAAATACTGGAAAAGTTGATTGAAATGCTGAAACAAAAGCAGATTTTTTTTCTTTTTAGAATAAAGAAATAATAAATTTGGAACAAACACGAAAAAAACATTGAGTTTAAAATGAAATATTGCATCTCATTCTGGGATTTCCTACAAATATATTGTGGGTTTATTTTCCTGAGACTGATTAAACAGTTGATGAAAAGCAAGTAATGAACATTGTTTTTAAATATTCAAACTTAAATACTTTTAGGATTTCCAAGCAGTTTTCCCCACCTTTTTTGTTTGTTTTTTTTTACCTGAAATTATTCATCGATTTTGAATTGGGCTCAGTCTGCTAGAAAGTGAATTCGGGCTATTAATTTAATATTTCAAGAAAAAACACATAATTTAACTTTAACTTTGAGAAAATTAATACACATTTCTGCTGATGCCAGTATAACTTCTAGGCAGGGCAGATAGAACTTTCTCACCTGTACAGGAAAAATAAAGATTACAAAAGGACATCTCTTAAAAGAACTGTTAACACAGTTGAATAATTCTGTAAATATCAGTGTTATGTGGACAAAGGCACAGACAAACCAGCAGTGTCTTTGTTGCCAAAATAAAATAATTAAAATCTAATATGCCTCATCCAGAAGAGGATTCTAAGGATTCCTGTAGAATCTGGGAGTTCAGAAAGGAGGATTTTAGATTCCAGAGGTGTTTCCAGACAATGGTTACAACCAATTTCACCTGAATTTGGCTTTGTGAAGGTTGGTGTGAGGAAGTCTGAATGACCGATATAAATCCCAGAATTTCGGATGGTTACCCCTAAGTCAGTTGAATCCCTTTTTTGGCAGCTTTGATCTTGTTTTGCAAGCCTTGGAGAAGGCTTAGTGCATCCTAAAATCTGAATTATTTTCCAGAAATGCCCCTTTGCTCCGTTAAATACCTTGAGTGACTCAGGTCAGGACACAGATCCCTCGGCTGATTCCTAGAATGAGGTGACAAGTTCCACAAAAGCTCCGTTGAGGTTTATTTGCATCCAAAAGACCGTGTTACATTACCATTGGTTTTGACACCATCACAGGCAATTTGAGAGATTCCTGGTGAAAACCCAGAACTAGAGCATTTCAACCCCCCAGAATATCCCTTGGTTATGTTCATGTGGCTGTTTCTTCTTGTTTTCAGCTCTTGATCGTGCTCTGAAATTAAGTCACAGAAGCATGAGCAGCTACTAAAAAGTCCTGCAAGAAATTTCAGTGCCCAGATAAAAATTAAAAAAAAATAAAATTCCCACCTTTTAAAGATACATTAGTATTTCTTCTTTATTTTGTTGCATGGTGATGCAGCAACACTTTTCCTTTGGTGAATGCAAAATTCACACAGCCAACAGGACTTAGACACAACTCCTTGAGTGGAAGGAAATTATACTCATCAGGAGACTCACCTGCTAGAGAAATATTTGTGTGTTTTGGTTTGTTTTTTTTTTCTGAATGCAGGAAATGCTTCTTTTAGGGAATGTCACAGGTTTTATATCTTCCTTTTGGACACAGGAGAGCACGGAGTTCTCGAGGGAAGAGAAGAACAACCAATTAAAGTGCTCCTGGTGTTTTCTCAGTGTGGAAGTATCACAAATTATGTGCTCTGAAGATCATGAGCCAGACCCATAAACTGTATTTCTTAAAGCATCAAAACAGTGCTAAAAGTGAGGATGGACCTTGAAGAAAATTGGATTCTCAACCCATGATCTGGAGTCGTGGATACAAGGCCACTTCTATCTTGAAACAAAGACTTTTAAAATGATACATTAGTATTTCTTCTTTATTTTGTTGCATGGTGATGCAGCAACACTTTTCCTTTGGTGAATGCAAAATTCACACAGCCAACAGGACTTAGACACAACTCCCTGAGTGGAAGGAAATTATACTCATCAGGAGACTCACCTGCTAGAGAAATATTTGTGTGTTTTGGTTTGTTTTTTTTTTCTGAATGCAGGAAATGCTTCTTTTAGGGAATGTCACAGGTTTTATATCTTCCTTTTGGACACAGGAGAGCACGGAGTTCTCGAGGGAAGAGAAGAACAACCAATTAAAGTGCTCCTGGTGTTTTCTCAGCGTGGAAGTATCACAAATTATGTGCTCTGAAGATCACGAGCCAGACCCATAAACTGTATTTCTTAAAGCATCAAAACAGTGCTAAAAGTGAGGATGGACCTTGAAGAAAATTGGATTCTCAACCCATGATCTGGAGTCGTGGATACAAGGCCACTTCTATCTTGAAACAAAGACTTTTAAAATGTCCTTAAAAATTAAAAAAAAAATAAATTAAAATTGAAAAATTTTAAATGCACCTCAGAGTGACTGTGACAATTTAGAAAATGGAATTCCAGCAGTCATTAGAACTTTTGGTGATGCGATTATGGTCATAGCAAATTAAAAGATGCTGGTTCTAGTCCCGATATAATGCAGAAATTAGACACAGGATTTGGAGCAGTTAACTTGTTACTTTGCTACTTACATTAAGCAGGCAGTTGATCTCTTTCCTTAACATAAATTTGGTTGATAAAATAGGAGATAATCCTTGTTCTTTCATAGGAGAGTTGATATTAATTGACTGTGAATTGACTAGACTAGTGGGGGAGTTGGAACTAGATGGTCTTTGAAGTCCCTTCCAACCCAAACCATTCCATAAATATTATTTGTATATATATATATATATATACACAAATATATATTATTCTCCAACTAACAAGCTTTATTTGCATTTCATTTTTCCCTTTTCCTTCCTTCCATCTAGTTCACATGTGCAGCAGAGGGCACATAAATGTTCATATGGTGTACTTAAGGACTTCTATGTGGGAGAAAGCAAAACACCTCAGGAGAACTGAAGTTTATTTCTCCCATTTCAACAAACTGTCCATGGAGAGATGGGAAAGCTCCACAGAGGTTTCTAGTGGCCAGTGATAGGTGTGTTTGGACCTTCCCAAACTCTGGGCAGAGCCTAAACCATGACACATGACAGGGATGTGATGGGTGCTCTGGTTTGAGGGAATGATGTGGGAAAGCCCATCCAGAAGAACAGGGGGAAACTACCATGTTTGGACCATTATTCATATCTCTGCTCTTTCCTTTGATATTCTTAGTATGGGTTTCATCACTCAAAGAATTAAAAGTTATTTTTCTAAGCCTAAATTCCTGACCTGTAGAGAAATAAGCACTCAGATTCTAGAAGGATCCAGGGCACAAACATCTCTGTTTAGGCTCATGGGGACATTGCTTATCTGAGTTCTGGAGAGGACTGTGTGTCTTTTCTGATCCAGTTATGATTTCAGGGACCAGGCACATGCCTGTATTAATCACTTCATCAAAGTATTCATCAAAGATCTCAGATGACTGTGGAGTGTTAATTATTAAAATACATCTTAATGGTCCAATAGAGAAGACTGTCAGTGATGTAAACTATCTTTAGATCAAATAAGGAGAATATGGACTGGAATTAACTGTGCATATTTTGGTATTTATAGAATCAGAGAATCCCAGAGTGGTTCAGAAGGGACCTTAGGGATCATAATTTTCCAACTCCCCTGCCATGGGCAGGGACACCTCCCACTATCCCAGGTTGTTCCAAGCCTCCTCCAACCTGGTCTTGGACACTTCCAGGGATGGGGCAGCCACAGCTTCTCTGGGCAACCTGTGCCAGGGCCTCACAGGGAAGAATTTCTTCCCAGTACCTGATCTAAACCCACTCTCCTTCAGCTGAAAGTCACTTAAAGCCGAGTACTTAAAGGGTGACTACAAAGAGGGCCAAGTCTCTCTCTTCACAAGGTGCCTTGATTCTCTGATTCCATCTTTTGTATATAGAATTAAAAAATATGGAGGAAAGGGAAGAGAAAATGGCACTGAAACACCGAGTCTAACTTTTTTTGATTCCCCAAGTCTTGGAAATTTCAAAGCCAGAACTTGAGCCCGACCTGAATTCCACAAATGGATTGTATTTCTATAGAAAGATTAATCATTCACAACCTCTTTCATGTGTATTTTCATATCTGGCAGCACCACAAAAAAAAAGAGAGAGGAAAACCAGTCCTGGTTGCAACCCACACATTAATATTTGGATTTTGTGTAAGGAAAAACACCCTTTCTTTTTTGAGGGCACATCAGGAATTTCAGGAATCCTTTGTGTTTAGGAGCAGATACACGAAAATGGTTCCTTTCCATCCCTCACTGGTTATATGAGATTAGCCAAATAATAGGTGAAATCTGATTTTCAGTGGCAAATGCAAAGTGTAAATGCCCAGAGGATGATTCATACGAGGATTTCATAATAAAAATACATTCTCCCTCCATTTATTTGGATGACAGTGCTGTCTGTATTCCCATCCTCCTGTTCCAACAGGGCAGTCCCACTTCTAAGAATATGAGAAGAGCTCTGTGGTGAGAGACAGGCCCAGGGGTATCAATTTCTGAGAGTAGCCAAAAATAGACATTCAGAGAAAGAGTATCAGAAACTGGATGAGTATTTCATGTTAAATTCTTCCCTCTCTGGCAAAGAAAATCATGGCTGGCTGACACAGTTCCCTCTTTCTGGTGTTCCAGGCTATTGGGCACAAGGAAAGAGCATGTCTTGGTTTTGAGGGAAACTTATGGCTGAGCACCTTGCTCCAGAAAGGGGCACCAGCTCTTTATCCTGGCTGAAGGTCACAGAATCCTCCAATGGTTTGGGTTGGGAGGGACTTTAAAGTTCATCTTGGGAACACAGGGCTCTGGTGGGTGGGAGGGGATGAACCACAGCAGAATTAGACTTGATATTCCAACCTTTCCACCTCTGCAAGACAGGAGAAGCATCAAAACCTCACATCTGCTCATAGCGTGGCAGTTGAGCTCAAGGCTGGTAACGTGGATTCAGATGCCTGTTTGAAAAGGCATCCAGGATCTGGAGTTGCACACAAGCTGATTTCCATCCTCGGGCATCTGTCCATCCATCTACATCTGGATCTGGAAAGAGGAGTGTTTCTGAATTGTTTGCAGCTGAGAAACAGCCACCAGTGCCATGTTATGGAAAACCAAGGGTTATTATCTATGTGTGGCATTCCATTTTCCCCCAGCCATTTCAACACTGGAATTTTGTTTTAGTGAGGGTAAAAGGTAAAAGCATGGGATCAAATAAGGATGGAGAAGAAGTTTGGGAAAGTTAAAGCTTTTGCTTGTACACATGAACAGGCCTAATGTTAATATATAATTTTTTTTTTCTGTGGGTATTAAACCATCTATTTTTGTCTAAGTATTGGTCTCTCTCTCTCTGAAATTAAAATAGTAAATAGTGTTATGGGCAGTGGAAGCTAAAAGTGAAACTAAATAATAGATGGATCCTGAAAATTGAGCAGAGTTAGACTCAAAATGGCTCCAATATCTTATTTAGAATTTTAACCTGAAGAACAACAGCCTGGTGATATTGCAGGTGAAAATGGGGGCTGGGATAACAGTCAGGGATGATCAGATATTCCTGCTGCTTGGTGCCATCCCAGACCAGGAGCCTCCAGCCACCTACCAGGAGCAATAATTAATGAATTAGCCTTGAATTATGCCCAGAACTAAGTTTGGACGTGGTGGGCTGTGTGCTGGGGAAGTCTGCATCTGCTGAAAAATCTCTTTGGGACAGTGTAGGGTGACCCCTTGGATAGACCAAGCCTTTAGTGGGCAAATGCAAGGACAAATGGAAAAATTACCAGTGCAAAGTGAGACAGGAAAAGGGAAGTTTGGCCAGAGCCAGACACCAACCTTGTCCTGGACCAACCCTGACTCCCACTCCCACCACACCTAAAGGACTCTTTTAGTTTTTAAAAAACATTATTCCCATGAGTGAGAAGGCAAAAATAAAATATAAATAAGAGGCCTCATCCAGCAGGAGGTGGAGGCAATAATCATAGTATGACCCACTGGAAGCCTCAGCAGACCCAAACTCCAACACCAGCTAAAGTCATTAAATCTATTTCCATCACAAATTACCCTTCCCAAAACAAGGACCTCCCCTGGCAGCAGCCACCCAAGGGTCTTCAGCTTAACAAGCCCTGCTGGGCATCCTGAAGAAGCCTCTCATGATCTTGAAACCCTCTCAGGAAGCTCATGGTAGACCTACTTCATCCTAACAAGCCCCTGGGGACAACTTCACAGACTCTGAGGAGATGGAAATGTTCCTCCTCGTTAAATGAGGTGAGAACTTCTGGAGCACTTCAGTTTGCCACAACTTCTCCGCACCCTGGAGTTCGTAACTTCTCACTTTGTGTCAGGGAAAGGGGCATCAGCACCTCCTTTCTCTTTGAGAACTTCTTGGCACCTGCCTAAATCACCAGTGGAGTGGTGGGGTGGTGTGAGCTCCTCAGTGTGACCTGGAACCAACTGAGGAACACCAAGGACAACACGGGGATCCATGTGCTGAGGTGGTCCTGGGAAGGAGTAAGGAGTGGCTGAGCAATAGGGCATCTGATGGAATCCAGAATATCTACTTCTAAATAAATGTCCCAAAGGAAATAAAAAGCCCCAGGTTCTGTACTTGGCCACTGTTTCATGTTCTGTGCTGAGCTAAGCAAAGGGAAAAAGCACCTCTGGTTTTTAATATAATCTAGAGAAGAAAACTTACATTAAGGAAAGACTCAGCAAATGAATTTAATCAGCTCATTTAATGTGTTTAATGCTTTATATATAGAGAAAAGTGTATTCAGCTGAAGGATATGAAGTTATATGGTGACCATCCTGGGGTCTAGAGGTGGCCAACAAATGAGATAGTGCAGCATTTTGTGATTCAGCCAAAATATTGAGATATATAACAGGAGTTTGTTCAGAATTAGTAAAACTTTATATTTTGTCTTGGCTTTGAAAGTATTTTTCATTTAGTATTGCACAGTAGAATTCATGCTAACAAAACACTCTAGAAATACAAATTTCAGTCAAATTGCCTGCCAAAAATGGGAAAATAAAGCAAATAGTTCTGCTTAACCAAAAAGAGTGATGGTTTTAAGATGATGCCAGGAGATTTAAAAAATCCAAAAGCTGATCGTTCTAAGTAGCTGCAAATATTTCGATGGGAAATCCAACTGCTGCACCCAGGTTGTGTTACCATTCAGAGACCTGGAAAGGCTGGAGAAATGGGTCAGGAGGTTCAACAAAGTCCTGCAGCCTGGGAGGAATAAAGCCAGGCACCAGGAAAGGCTGGAGTCTGACCTGCTGGGACACCTGGCTGACCATGAGCCAGTTCCTGGGCTGCTCTAGAAAAAGGTGTTCCTGCAGGTCAGAGACCACACCTGGCATGCTTTGTCCAGGTGTCAGCTCCTCAGAGCAGGAGAGGCAAGGACATGCTGGAAACAGGATCAGTGAGGGTTAAGTGACTGGAACATCTCATAGAATGAGCAGGGTGAGGGAGTTCAGCCTGGAGAAGAGAAGGCTCAGGGAGGGAACTTATGGGTGACTCTAAATATCTCTTTGTGGGGAGGATAAAAGAGAACAGAACAAAACTCTTCCCAGTAGTGTCCAGTGGCTGCCCCATCCAAGACGGGGCTTGGAGCAACCTGGGCTAGTGGAAGGTGTCCCTGCCCATGGCAGGGGGTTGAAACAAGGTCATCTTTAAGGTCTCTGCCAACCCAAATTGCTCTGTGATTCTGTGATGCTACAACTCAAGTTTAAACATGAAAAAAGCTTTGTTTTCATAAAGGCAATCAAGACTGAAATCCCAGAAAGGGATCATTAAAACTATTCAGAGTGGACACACTCCTTGGCAGCCTTTCTGGTTGATCTGGCTTCGAGGAGGACTGGGTCATCTCCAGAAGTGCCATCAAGTTTCCACCATGCTGTGACTGTGTGTGAAGATTTGGACCATCCCCATCTCTGCTGCTTTTCCCTTGTTTTGCACAGTGGCATTATGACTGTCCCATGGGAGGCAGAGGGTGAGAGTGGATGTAGGATAAGTGGGCAAGAAGTTTGCACTTGAGACAAGAGCGATGCAACTTTATTAGTGAACACAGTTTGAGAGCAGACTAATTAATTTTTCAGCTGTAACAACATACCAAATGCTCTTGGAGGCAACAGTCTCAAAGACCTCACAGAATCACAGAATCAAAGCATGTGCTGAGTGGGAAGGGAAGGATCACCGAGTCCAACTGCTGGCCCTGCACAGGACCATTCTCTGTGCCTGAGAGTGTTGTCCAAACACTCCTGGAGCTCTGGCAGCCTTGGTGCTGTGCCCACTGCCCTGGGGAGCCTGTTCAGTGCCCAACCACCCTCTGGGGGAAGAACCTTTTTCTAACATCCAACCTAAACCTCCCCTGACACAACTTCAGGCCATTCCCTTGCGTTCTGTCCCTGCTCACCACAGAGATCGGTGCCTGCCCCTCCTCTCCCCCTCACGAGGGGATAACTGCAATGAGGACTCCCCTCAGTCTCCTCTACATGAAACATTCTCCTTAAAGAGAAAAAAAGGCAGGGAAACAATGTAAGATTGTCTTTCAGGAGTGCATTCTCCCGATGAAGATGCCGAGGGCGTTCTTCACCTCCTCGTTCCTCAGGCTGTAAACCACAGGGTTCACCAGGGGCACCACGACGGTGTAGAAGACAGACGCCACTTTCTTGCTCCTCAGCGAGCGGGCCGAGCTGGGCTGCATGTAATTAAAGGCGATGGACACGTAGAGGATGCCGAGGGCGGCCAGGTGGGCGCTGCAGGTGGAGCAGGCCTTGCGCCAGCCCGCGCCGGGGCCCGTCCTGCCCACGGCCACCGCGGCGCAGGCGTAGGAGCCGAGGATGAGCAGGCTGGTGGCGGCGATGTTGAACCCCGCCAGCATGAGCACCAGGGCCTCGTTGAGCGCCCTGTCCGAGGAGGCCAGCAGGAAGAGCGGCGGCCCGTCGCAGTAGAAGTCGTCGATGAGCAGCGGGCCGCAGAAGGACAGCCGCAGCGCTGCGCCCGCGTGGGTGGCCGCGCTCAGCAGCCCCCCGAGGAAACAGCCGGCCACCAGCCTCGCACAGAGCGCGGGGGACATGAGGAGCTGGTAGAGGAGGGGCTGGGAGATGGCCACGAAGCGGTCGTAGGCCATGACCGCCAGCAGGTAGGCCTCGGCCGTGCAGAAGGCGGCGTAGAAGTAGAGCTGCGCCAGGCAGCCCGCCAAGGACATGGCTCTGGGGCCCGCCGGGAGGTCCAGCAGCATCCTGGGGCTGATGGTGGAGGAGTAGCAAACGTCCAGGAAGGACAAGGCGCTGAGGAAGAAGTACATGGGGGTGTGGAGCTGGGGGCTGACCCTGATGAGGACGATCAGGCCCAGGTTCCCCACCAGTGTCAGTGTGTAGGTGCCCAGGAAGAGCCCGAGGAGGATGAATTTCAGCTGTGGGTGTTCGGTGAGCCCCGCCAGGGTGAACTGGGGCACCTCAGTGCAGTTCCCGTCAGCCATCCTCCCATTCCTGCAGAGACACACGGAGCATGAAACAATTCCTGATGCAATTCCCGCTTTGTAAATATCGGTGTGAAAAAGCTGGCACCGGCACCGAATTTGTATGGAAAAGATAAAAAATTGGAAGAACTGTTGATTTTTTTTCTTGCTATGACAGAAATGCTCCTTCCATCTCTGGAAGAAGCATCAGCAGATCTTACCAGTTTTTTTTTTTCCTAAAGTCCTTACAGAAAGTAGTTTGTCACAACCTCCCCTTTGACCCCATTCCCTTCCAGTTTCAAGCCCCATGTCTGTACAAGGACATTTTTTGACAGATGCTTCACAAATATCCTGCTCACAGTTGCAACCCTGTAACCTTATTCACACTGACGAATTTTCCTGCATTTCAAACTCTTACTTCATTTCAAACACCCTAAGGCTACAGTTAATACCAGGTTTCACCACAAAATGAAAGCATTAAAAACCCAGAGCCACTTGTAGTTAAGTAGTAGAGAATTTATTAATTTCTTAATATGTGTCTTCTCCTGCAGCTCCTGAGGTGAGATACACTCAAGGAATGGGTCTGCAGCCTGCCTTTTGTCAGAAAATATTCTCTTTTGGGGATGTGTGTTAAGGGGAGAACAGTGATCAGCTGTTGACACTGGATTAGATATTTCCAACAATTATAATTGAGAACTTCCCTCAGTTCCTCATCCTGTTGATATGCATTAGATTCCTCTAAAATCTTCATCCAGACTTGAAAATCCAGACCCTTGTGCCATTTAATCTGTATGAATTCATGTGTAGAAGTGTTATTCAACATATATTGTCCTTTTTCTCCTCTTCATCTTTGTTGCATTTTTTATCATTAAATTCATAATAAAATCCTTAATTTTCCTACCTTACCTCAGAGTTTCCTCAGTTTTTCAGAGTTCTCTTCCATCCCAGGGAAACTACAGGCGGGCAGCATCATCAGGCAGGGGTTGGTGGAAGATTTTGTCTGTGCACAAGTTTATTTAATTGTTATCAGAGACTGACTAAAGGCAGTCAACACTTTACCTACAGCATTGTATCAGAAATTCACCTACTCTCTCCCCTTCCAGAGGTCTCCATGTTATTTTCAGAGCCAATTATTATGCCAAAGGCAAAAAACCAGGCTCCACAGGTCTTTATGAAGACGGAATGATGTCCATGCTCATGGGATAAGTGATCAAAGCCTCTCCAGGGCACCTGGAAAACAGATTGAGATTCCTCCAAGGGCATCCCGAAGGGATTTCTCTCTGAAGTTTTATGTTTGGGGAATTTGTCAAAGCATCAGAAATAATATGTGTGCAGGATGTTTACAAATACAACTTTGGAAGAAATAAAAAAGCACATGACAGTGTATTTTGTGGAAGGATTTGACTTGGAAGAACTTTTTCTCCCTGTGTTTGTGGGGAATAAACTGCAGCCACTGTTTATTAATGGGACAACAGTTTATTAATGGAAAATCTGGGTTTCTTTTTGCAGTGGCCACTTAGGTTAAATATAAACCCTTGGAAGACAAATATAACAGGATATATATTTAATATGTATATATTTATTCTGACCATAGAACATGTGTAAAACTTCTTTTTGCAGGCAAAAAACCCCTGTGTTTCTTCTCTTCACTCCAAAGGGAATGGAGGATTCCAGCAAACAACATACACCCAACAAGGAGAGAGAGAGAGAGAGAGAGAGGAGGGAGATTTCATGGCTAATCCATAAAACATAATTTAACATATTTAGGATCTCATTTTAAAATGGATCAAGGATTTTTATCTCAAATTTCCACCTCAGACAAGGAGGAGACCTCTCTGTTTCTGCCATCTGCTCATGGAAGCACAAACACTGTAGAATTTATCAGGGTAGAGGCATCTTGTCACCAAGGTGTTACTTGGAGACCTTGAAGTCATTAAGACTAAAAGAGCTCAGCAATGGATGTATTTCAGGCAGCACTGACATTAAACTCTGAATTCCCTGAACTGGGTGGAGGAATGGTTGTGTTGCAAAGGAATTATTAGCCCTGAGCTAAGCAGGGTGAAAGTTCAGGGTGCCAGCATAGAATCCAGTCTCCAGGAGAAAGGGAGACATTAAGAGATGGCACTTTATGAAGCCACAGGGACGTATATAACCTATATACCTTGAATCATCTACAATTCTGCACGAGGGAAGCACTCCAGGGTTGAAAATGATATGTAAGAGCACACTGAGATTGATTTTTTCCTTCAGTTTCTCTGATCTAGGGGAATTAAGAATGAATCCAGAGCAGGAACATAGGTCACAGCAGGTCTTTCCTCAAATCCAAAAGGAACAGACACTAGAGGGGTGCCCTGGCTCCCACATATGCAGCTGTTGCTCTGCTCCAGGGTGAGACAGAACTCTGACAAAACACCCCAAACTGGGTTAAAAGGACAGTGTAGGAAGGTGGAGCCTCACATTTTTCCTGCTCTGTTTATTTTTTTCTGTTCTGCTTCTGTTTCCTGCTCTTCCTGTCTAGTTCTGGTGCAATGAATTCAGTGAAAAATCGATGTGTGCAGGTGGCAAAGCAGAAGCACTCAGTGTGTGCCAGTGGGGTTGGGCATCCTTATTACCTCAAAGAATCCTGGACTTTTTATGGAGCAGGAACTCTGGAGTAGGAAAGATCCCTCGGGTCACCTTGCACTCCACTAAAATTTGTGTTTGGAAAACTGAATCCTAACCATGGTGTAGGTCAGGACACTGAACCCTGTGGGAAGTTGTGCCATGTTACAACGACATGGGTGGGCTTCACAACTTCTTGATGCTTGACTTGGAAATGTAAGTGGTGTTGTGTGTACTTCATGCATTTCTTAAGATGGGGAAATATATTTAATAGTAACAATAACAATAAGAATAATACAAACAATGCAACGAAAGAGTACCCTAGAAAATCCAGGATGTATCACCCTGCAGAAAAGCTCCTTGACTTTTCAACCCACTACCAAGATGGCTGAGAGCTGAGAATGGATGGAGCTTAAATTATTTCCCCTGTTTCAGTATTAAGAATGTGAATTTGTTACCACAAAGACATGAGTGTTGTGCAAACACAAAGTCACTTTGATTCCTTAGCACTAGGCACAAGCCACATCCCAAGGTCTGTCTCAGACAGTGAGAGTTTATCTCCCCTTCACAGAGCCTTGTAGCTGCCACTCAGAGCTTGGACTCGATGATCCTGGAGGGCTTTTCCAACTTTAATGACTCTGATAGACACACATTTATATCCACAGTGATCAGAGGAGACTGCACAGCACTCTTGTGTTTCTGCTCATCCATTTCCCCCCTTAAATGATGACCTTAAGTGATGGCAAAGGAGCCTTCCTCCCTTCCAGTCTCCCAGAAGGGACATGCAGGAGCCATATGGTCAAGAAGAGGCCCCAGCCCTATAAAGTGCTTTAGAACAGAGGGATGTACATCCAAGTGTGCCTACAGTGCCAATTCCCAGCATTCAGGCTCTAAAACATGCATCCAACACCTGTGTGCTCTCACCTAAACTTCCTCTGTGCTCAGTGGAGAAAAACATTCCCAGCTGAAGTCTTCTCCTGTGACAGTAACCTAAAGCTGTGCCATCCAGTTGGCCCTCTGGAGGTGCACAGTTCTCCCTCCTAACTGCAAAGGGAGCCCAGAAAAGGAGTTTTGAGCCCAGAGGAGGAGTTTTGAGCCCAAAAAAAAGAGTTTTGCCCACAGCATCTAATTTTTAGAAGGTCAGTCACAAACCGCAGTTCCTATTCAGCTGCTGGAGCTCCAGAGGACGCCACAGGCTGGGCAAGGTGTTCTTGTCCTGTTAAAGCACTTCTCACCTGGCTGATCACTCTCCTTAGGGCACACCTCACCTCTTTGTTCCTCAGGCTGTAGATGATGGGGTTCAGCAGGGGGGTGAGGATTCCATAGAGCATGGAAACGACCCGATCCCGCCGAGGGGAGTAGGTGGAGGACGGGCGCACGTACGTGCAGATGGTAGTCCCGTAGAAAAGGCAAACCACGGTCAGGTGAGAACCACAGGTGGAGAAGGCTTTGTGCCTGCTCTCCGAGGAGTTCATGGACAGGATGGCCAGGAGGATGTAGAGATAGGAGATCAGAGTGACCACAAAGGCGCCGCTCCCCAGCACCCCAGCGACTGCCAGAATCACCAGCTCCCTGCTCCGGGTAGGCGAGCAGGAGAGACCCAGCATGGGAGGAATGTCACAGTAATATTGCTCCACTTGGTTAGAATCACAAAAAACCAGTGTAAAAATCAAAGAGGTGTGCAAGAGGGAGTTAAAAAACCCTGCCACCCAGGTGCCAATGGCCAGGTGAGCACACAGCTTCATGCTCATGATGTTCAGGTACTTCAGGGGGTGGCATATGGCCACGTAGCGGTCGTAGGCCATCACAGCCAAGAGAAAGATCTCTGTGCCTACCACATCAATGAGGGAGAACAGCTGGAACAGGCAGCCCTTGAAGGAAATCACCTTGTTCTCAAACAGCAAGGCCCCCAGCATTTTGGGCACAGTGACAGTAGGACACAGGATATCCAGCAGGGATAAGTTGCTGAGGAGGAAGTACATGGGGTTGTGCAGGTGGGTGTCTGTGCTGACAGCAAGGAGGATTGTGATGTTGCCTGCCACAGTGGCCAAGTAAATGGTCAGAAACAGCACAAAGAGGAGAAAACGGACCTGTGGAGCATCAGAAAGGCCTATGAGAACAAATTCAGACACTGTTGAGAGGTTGTCCCTCTGCATCTTATCTTTCATTATGGAAATGAGGCAGAGGTTTCCCTGGAAGAGAGAAAAGGTTGGAACTTAGTCAAAGTTGCAGCCCCCTTCTAAAGACTGCAGTTCAAAAACATTTCCAGGCTTCCATTGCCACACTCAAAATCTAAATTTTTCCCACCTACACTCAGTGTAAAAGGAAAAATGTAGGCATTAAGCTTCAAAGGCATTAATCCAAAATGTTTAATTCCTGCAAGTTGTCATCTCAGCCTGAAGAGCTGAAAGTTGGTGTTACCTTGTCTGTGGTGTCCAGCTTGATTGGACACAGTCCCAGGCAAGGTGAGTGGTCTTTGAAGGTTCTCTGAGTGAGGGGAGTGGGGTACAGGTCCCTAGAAAGCCTTTCAGCATAAATTATTCAGGTCCAGAGAAGAGCAACGAGGCTGGGGAAGGGACTGGAGCACAAGTGCTGTGAGGAGAGGCTGAGGGAGCTGGGGTTGTTTAGCCCCGAAAAGAGGAGCCTCAGGGGACACCTCATCACTCTGATTTAGTGATAATAATGTCACCAGAGGTGTCTAGTTTACTAGCTGAACCTAAAACTTATTTTGAATGGAGTAATTAAACAGAAGAATTAAATTCCTGGTAATCAAAAGAAAAATGTCCCTTCTCGTGGCAGGAGGTTGGAACTAGAGGATCTTTAAGGTCCCTTTCTTCCAAAACATTCTGTGGTTCTATGATTTTGGTTTCTTCAGTTTTATCCAGTGGGACATAAAAAGAGATATAATCTGGTATCCAATTAAGAACTTCCCACCTTTCTATACATTTTGCCCTCTAGACTTCCATAACAGTACTAGTACTTTTAGGATATATCTAGACTTCCCCTTTTGCTCTTTTTCCCATTCAAAGAAGACTAAATTTGGCATTAAAGCCTCTTCCCATTTATCCTGCATTGCTTCATGGAATGAAACTCAGTATTTATGGCAAGGATTTACGTATCAGCCCTATAGAGAGACAAAGCAAAGTTCAGAATAAGTGCCTTCTTTTTGGAGATTAGAGCTTGATTGGGGAATGGTGTGAATATTGTCCCATGTTCTCAGGTGTGAGAGATTTAATAGGTACAGAGATTTAATAGGTGATTATGATATCCCATCCAAACCAGGCTCCTCTGTGGTCTCATGTTCTCACAGAAGCTTAAGTCAGAGCTTAAAGTACATAAGGAATATTTTAGTCAGCAGAAATAAAAGGCAAGTTCTTAAAATGGGGAACTCATTCAGGTGAAATACCACAGAAACAACACAGAAATACTCACTGCTACACAGAATTAACTACAGGTAAGAGATAATCCTCAGTACCCCCAGGAAACACAACTACCCTTTTTCTTCCTTCACAATCTGATTGGAATATCTACATAAATCAGAAAAATCATTTCCCTCTGAAGGAAGAGTCGAGTCCAGGTTCAGCAGTGCAGCAATATTCACACAGACACCCATGAGCACCGGCAGATGGGCTGGCTGGGCTGCAAGGGTGAGCACCTCTCCTCTGTAATGAGATTTATAAACAGGAAGGTGTGTCTGGGGACAACTGTCTCTGAAGCTTTTTTGGGTGTTATCTTAATTGCATGTATGGGGTTTTTTTTTTCAGAATGTTGCCAAAAGGGGCTGGAAATGGAAGGGACTAAAACTATCAGCACTGCTTTGGAGAGCTAACACAAACTGCCCTTTGGTTCCAGAAAGCATCCCTGCACTGATTTATGGGAGAATCACTTCCTATGTGATGCCCAGGACTAGGAACTGTTCCTATTCCAGCAACACCATCCTGTAATTTCTGCCCTGTTCACATCAATGACACTGCCTGTCAATCATTTTTCAAGCTTGTTTGCTGTGTTTGCAGGCTGTGACTCCTTCAAATTTAAGGCTTCTGCATCTTGCATGGGACAAGGGGGAACACTTTTAAACTAAAAGATGAGAGATTTAAATTACATATTAGGAAGAAGTTCTTCCCTGTGAGGGTGGTGAGTTCCTGGCACAAGTTTCCAGGAGAAGCTGTGGCTGCCCCATCCCTGGAAGTGTTCCAGGCCAGGTTGGACGGGGCTTGGAGCAACCTGGGCTAGTGGAAGGTGTCCCTGCCCATGGCAGGGAGGTGGAACACAATGATCTTTAAGATCCCTTCCAACCCAAACCATTCTGGGATTCTATAAATTGGAATTATCCAAGGGTCTGGAAAAAATCCACATGGTCCAGATTTTTCTCTGTGTGCTGCAGTTGGCCCAAGGACCATAAAACATCACACTTCCCATGAAACTTTGGAATGAAGAATGAAGATAATAATTTGGTGTTATACCCAGATGCCAGAAAGGAGTGCAACAAAGGGATCAATCCCATCCATAGGTGTGAGGAGAATGGGGGCTGTGCCTTTCCATTTTCCTAAACTGGCTTCATGTCACTTCCACCGACTGTGACCCAACTTTTCATTGGACAACCATCAGAGGGCAATACCTCCCACAAAATCAAGGTGCCAGTCACCCAGGACTATTTTTCTGGGCTGCTGGCTCTCAGCTCTATGTCTAATGCTCCAGTGTGTATTTTCAGGGGTATTTTTAGTTGGGTCAGTAGAAGTAGAAACACAAGACAGTCTTTGGGGTAAGCTTTCTGCCTCAGGGTAAATAAATAAATAAAAATCTCACTAGTATTTCTCATCTTGCAATACCTCAGAGCAGCCTGGAGATACTTGGGTGGTGTAAAAATCCCTTTAATGTTGCCATCCCATATGAGCTGCAGGTATGGGCAGCACAGTGAAAACTCTTCATGTGTCTCCACTCAGATAGCTCAGTCACTCAAAGCCACTTGGTACAGTGCAATTTTCGAGCTGTGGACTCAACAAAGAATCCCTGGCTGAGGATGCACAGTTTAAAGTTACTGTTCTTACATCATATTCTATTCTAAAACCAGTTGTTAAAAAACAACACCCCAAATACCCCCAAAACAGAGAGGAAAAAAAAAAATCTCTGTTTGCAGAATCCAGATGTGCTCCAGTTGATGACACGCTGGGTTAGCCCTACTGCCCACCCCTGCTGCCACAGCAGGACCATCCCCAGGGCAACACAACCAAAGGAATTCTATTTTCACCATTTTCTGGGACTACCCAGCTTTGTCAAGCCTTGAGTTTTCCACTTAGGAGTGCTTCTGGTGATCCCAGCCTGACTGCAGTCCCTTTTCTCTGATGTCCATTTGTGTTGCAGTCCTAAAGCCTTTAAATAAAATTGATTAGACTGGGATTTCTTCAGTTTACTTGGCATTTAACGAAAACATTGTAGAGATTCTACCAGTTCTCAAGGGACTTTTTTTTTTCCCCCTTTGGGGTCATTTTCCCCTGCCCTCTGGATGACAGGGAGCTCAGAGAGCTGCTAATTTCCAGGAGGGAAAGAACGTGGGGTTTTAATGATGCGCGGGGGAGCCAATTTCCACACGCTTACAAACTCAGCTGCCAAAGTTCCACCTTCGCAATTTGTCAGGCCCCAACTTTTTAATAGCACCAACTGAGGCCTTATTAAAGCCATCCCAAGATGCTTCCTGGAGAGAAAAATCAATTACATTAAATCGTTTGTCTTCATAGAATGGTTTGGGTTGGAAGGGGCCTTAAAGCTCGTTCATTCCAGCCCCCTGCCATGGGAAGGGACACCTTCCACTGGACCAGGCTACTCCAAATCCCATCCTTGTATTGAGACACCATCTCCCAAAAATATGGAATTTTCCTTTGGCTTTTTTATTAAAGCAGAGTCAGGAAATTGTATGATTGCATGGGATTTCTATGTTATTACAGTTTGAAATGTGTAATAAAAACTTTGTTGGGATTTTTAAAAGTTATCACAGTGATACATTTTAATTTTTTTCTCAATTGAAGTTTACCCTAATTGACCTGGAGGACATTTTAATGTTTCAGCACTTCTCTCTAATACTAAACAAAATTTTAATATTTCAGCATTTTTCTCCAATACTAAAGAAAAAGAGCTCCCTTCCAGCCCAAACCATTCTATGATGATCCAGTCATGATTCTAAATAGGAATTCACCATTAAGATGAAATCCCATTTGCATAAAGATGGGAGATACTTGGAAATCTCTTTTAACCAGGAGGATCAGTGACTCACTGATGCTTCTGATCTTCCTCCTCTTTCTGCTCGTGTGGGAGCGAGGGCTAATTTAAAACAGAAATTTAAGCCTCCCACTCCCTTTGCAGCAATTTGAATTGGATATTGGGAAAAATTTCTTCATGGAAAGGGTTATCCAGCCCTGGCACAGCTGCCCAGGGCATGTGGTACAGTCCCCATCCCAGCAGGGATTTAAAAGCCATGTGGATGTGGCACTTGGAGATGTGGGTTAGGGGTGGCCTGGGCAGTGCTGGGGGAACGGATGGACTTGCTGGTCTTAGAGGGTTTTTCCAGCATAAATAATTCTATGATTCTAATTTAGATGGGATGGATCCAGTCCTAAATCACTCTGGTTGGTGTTCTCCTGATGGCAGCCACTGCACTTACATCCCTGATGGATTTGGTAATGTCACTGCTGCCCTCAGAAAGGATAAAGGTGGCTGAAGAAGTACAGAAACTTAATTACTGTGAGGTGGAAATGTTGATTATTAAAAAAACTTCACAGAACAAATTCCTACTGCCTTTTCCTTAATCTTCTTCCCCAAAAACTGTTGTTATCTTCCGGGGCAGAACACTGGATTGGGTCACTCCTTCATAGGATCATAGAATCCCCTGATGGTTTAGGTTGGAAGGAACTACAAAAATCATTCACTTCCACCCCCTGCCATGGGCAGGGACACCTTCCACTAGCCCAGGTTGCTCCAAACCCCATCCAACCTGGTTTTGAACACTTCCAGGGACAGGGCAACCTGTGCCAGGGCCTCACCCCCCTCACAGGGAAGAATTTCCTCCAATCTAAACCCACCCTCTGTCAGTGTGAAGCCACTCCCCCTTGTCCTGGCACTCCATGTTCTCATCCAAAATCCCTCTCCTTCCTCCAGATATTCTCCCTTGTATGTTTTTAATAATTCATTTCAGTGAGACAATTATGACTATGTTCTGAAAGGTTAAAAGAATTCACATCCTTATATGTCTGAAGAAAATCCTACAAACAATGTCTGCACTGTCTCTACTTTCACCTGAGAACATCAGTGTTGGTGGGTGAATTTGGGGACACTAAGTGCATGTGCCTCTGCCATCTGCTGTCACAGCACAGTAAAAGCATGGCAGAGAGGGAGAAAAATCCTTGCCCTGGATTTATTTATTTGAAAATTACGATCCCACACAAATGAAACAGTTTAGAATGTTTTGGGTTTTTCAGCATGGATTTTTAATATTTTAGAAAGCTTCAGTTCTTTCAACATGGATTTTTAATATTAATATTTATATATATGTATGTACACACACACACACACATCATTTGAAGTGTGTAGGCATCAGTGTCCAAGCCCTCAGTCTGTAGGGATGTAAGTCCAGGTGCAAGTCCAGGTGTGGTGCCAACCCCAGCTGGTCTCAGCAGGCTCTGCAGCACTTCCACAGCCTCCACATGGATTCCTTCACCTCTCTGTTCCTCAGGGTGTAGATGAGGGGGTTCATCACTGGGGAGAAGATGGTGTAGATGACACAGATGTACTTGTCGAAGGGGAAGGTGCAGAGGGGCCTCAGGTAGATGAAGATGCAGGGCACGAAGAAGAGGGTGACGACCACCACGTGCGAGCCGCAGGTGGAGAGCGCCTTCCAGTGCCCCCGGGTGAGGCGGCCCCGGAGGGAGACCAGGATGAGCGTGTAGGAGCTGACCAGCACCAGGAAGCAGCCCAGGGATATGAGGCCACTGTTGGAGGCCATGAGCCACTCGGTGACGTAGGTGTCGGCGCAGGCCAGGCGGATGACGGGCTGCACGTCGCAGAAGTAGCTGTCGATCGTGTTGGGGCCGCAGAAGGGGAGCTGGATGGTGAGCAGAGTCTGGGTGATGGAGTGGAGGAACCCCCCTGCCCAGCAGGAGCAGACCAGCACCCAGCAGGCCCAGCGGCTCATGATGGCCGTGTAGTGCAGGGGCTTGCAGATGGCCGTGTAGCGGTCGTAGGCCATCACGGTGAGGAGGAACATCTCCGAGGAGCCAGCAAAGTGCAGGAAGAACAGCTGGGCTATGCAGCCTTCAAACACAATGGCCTTCCTCCGGGAAAGCAGGTCCACCAGCATCCTGGGAGCGGTGACAGAGGTGCAGCAGATGTCGATGAAGGACAGGTTACAGAGGAGGAAGTACATGGGTGAGGAGAGCTTGGGGTCAGTCCTGACTGCCACAATGATGAGAAGGTTCCCCAGCAGAACCATGGTGTAGGCCAGGAAGAAGATGGTGAAGAAGAAGGACTTGCAACTCCCTGGTGTCAGAGAGGCCCAGGAGGATGAATTCAGTCACCCTGGAGAAGTTGCCCCAAGCCATTGCTGCAGCTCAGGCTCCCATGGCACAGGGGAGGGGGGCACTCATGGGCTGGCCAGGAAGAGTAGGGAATGTGCTACAGCTCCAAGGGTCGTGGATGGTGACAGCAGGATGCATTTACTCCTCTTTTTCCTGCTACAGAAAGCCCAGTGTCATGTCACAAATCACAGTGAGCAACATTTGCAAAGAGCACTGTCCCCTCCTCTCCTGCCTTCCCGCTCCCTATTTTAGGTCTCTGACCCCTCCACACTGGCCCTCACCCCTGAACTCACTCTGACCACTGTTTTCCTGCAGTGTAGTTGGTGTGACAAATGTGTGCTCCCATTCTGTCAGGGAGGAATCACAGAATAGTGGAATCATTGAGGTTGAAAAGATCTCTGAGGTCATTGAGTGTAACCATTCCCTCAGCACTGCCAAGCCCACCACTAAACCACGTCCCCAAGTGCCACATCCACACGTCACTTAAAACCCTTAAGGGATGGTGATTCCACCACATCCTACACTCACAGAACAGAGAGCTGGAAAAATGCTACAGTGTCCTTTTATCTGCTGAGAATTTGAAGTGCTATGGTGGAAGGAAATCCTGCCACGCTCAAGCATCTTATCTACAATATATGGCTCAACCATGAGCTGTTCTGTGTTCTTTTCCTAATGGCTTTCCTCTGAATTGAGGACAGGACTGTCAGTTAGCTTATCCCCTCTGAAACTGGAAATGCATTCACAGAAACCAGATTCCTCTCTCCTGAGCCAGAAGCTGTTTGGAAGCTTGAGTGCTCCCTTAGGCCTGCTGTTATCAGAGCACGCTCTGCCCCCCAAAACTGGGGTCTCTAACAAAGCAGAAGCTGCAAAACCCTGCCCAGTTTCTCCAGCTCTTGATTTTTAAAAGGAATTTTTAAAGTTCTCCAGTCGACAAATACACTCACTGTCTCGTGGAAGTTAAAATGGGACCAGCAGAGGAATGCACATTTCCATTTACAATCCCACCAGGAAATTCCTTTGCTGCTCATTTCTGCCCAAGAGTTTATAACTCAGCAAGCAGGAGGTTACTAGTAAGAAACTGGAGTCTGTTTTTCTTACATACCTCTTGCCTCCTGCGCTTTCCTCAGGTCTTGCTCTATTTTCTACCCCTTCCTGGTAGATCTCAAGGACATAATTCAGAATATATGTCTGCAAATCACACCATCAGTTCAGAAATGATCCCACTTTTCCTCCTCTCTTTCCCAGAGGCTCGGTAGTTTTCCAGAGGTGCAGAAAGAGTCAGCAGTCTGCAGCCAGCCCTAGGCAGTGGACAGAGACCTCAGGACAGGCATCACAGTTTGTAGCAGCTCTGCCTCCCTGTGTAGTCAATAAAGAGGAATAAACACCTTAAAGACATGGCTCACTTTACCTTTTTTAGGTCATTACACCACAGTGAGATGATTTATCCCACGAAAGATTGCACCTCTGTCCCTGAGTGTAAAAAGAGAGCAGATTCCTACCCCAGGCCAGATGCCTATGATGCCATCAGCGTTAAAAAGAGCTGCCTTAAAGGATCCCAATGGCCAAAATTTAATATTTACATTTTTCTGCGTATTTTTCAACAAGGTACTGAGGATTTCTCTCTGCCTTTCACATAAACAAACACCACCACACACATGTGCTTTAATACCCCATGGCTGACCTGAAGAACATAAGGAAAGGAGAGGAAAAAATGGTTACTACTGTACCCAGTTACTAAATATTGATACAACATCAACTTTCTGAGCTCCACATTTGTAGCCTGAAAACATTTTAAATCATTCACTCCACGTTTCAAGTGATCTGACAAGTCAGGGAATTGTTCCACTCTTCTTCCTCCTGCTTGTGATTCCCATATCCTTGCTCTTACTTTTCTTGTTGCATAGAAACTTGCTTCAGGAGTTTTTCAAGCCAGTTTTTTTTCCTTGGCAGGCAGGTTTTACTGTGGTGGCATCAATGTCCTGTTTTCTGTCTGTCATTTACACTGAGACATCCAATGAGGGGACATCTCCAAGGCTTTTGGAACTGACCTCTGCATTTCCCGCATCTTCCTTCTCCCTGAAGTCACCCTATGCCAGCACAACCTATAAATACTCCTGGAACGTACTGGGGACTAAACACAGGTAAAAGAGAGTTGGACCTCAGAGAAATGTGTCATTAGCAAACTCCAAGCAGGTTCCTGAGGGCCTTATTAAATAGTTTTGCTGGTTGGGTCCCTTGGTTGGGTCCCAATTCACCTGCTGTGCGTGGAGTCCTGGAGGGTGATGAAGAGAGGAGAAAACACCACACACTTCTAAGCACTCAGGAGCCCTTTGTATGAAACAAGCCCATAAGTTTCTAGCAATGAAATTGTAAATTTAGGGTTATAACATCAATCTCTGCATCGAGGCAGCGTGAGGCACCAGGAGATGTTGCTTGAGATCAGGGAGCGTCAGGGCCAGGACAGGGAGTTTCCCAGGGACAGACTGGATCAATTCCTCACCAGGGTGAGATGTAAACATGAACAAATATGAATGTTCACTGCCCAAGTCAAAGGAAGGTCTGGGCAGACCACGATATCGGTGGTGATGTATCACTGAGAACTGTGGCTTAAGTTCAAATCAGATTGAACTTGTTCTTCTAGTCATGGTGTTAACTGATAGGAGATCCCCCATCTTTATTTTAGCACACGAGTTTTTTTATTTCAATTTGTCCCCATATCCAGCTGAGGATAAGTGAGAGAGGGGGCTGTGGGGGTGTCCAACAGCCAGCCAAGGAATCAAACCCATGGCATGAATTTTAGAGACTAGAATCTAGTCTCTGAAAGCATATAATCTCCAAAAAGAATGAATGTGATTATTGATTTTTAAGTCCATTTCTGCTGCATCTTCAGGAGCTGCCCCTCCAATCCAGAAAGAAAATCTTATTGACTGCACCCCTGGTTTTAGTTTTACACAATGAAAATAAACCCTTAGTCTTCTGCCAGTCGTGGTTACCTCTTTCCCTTCCTATTCTGATGGACATATGGAGAAATTTTAAAACTTTTTCGTCTGTGTAATGATGTTTTACTTCTAATTTTACTGCCATCATAAAGTGACAAGGACTTGCTGCTGTATTTCATCTCCATGTGTCACCAATTACCTTCATGCAAATGAGTGAGTTGTCAGCTATTCTAAGGACATCCCATTCCTCTGCTTCCCCTTCCAAAATTTTAGGGCAAATAGAAGTTTTCAGAAAATTCATGCCTTGACCACAGCCAGGCAGTTTGCAGTAGAAGGGCATTGCCCAGAGTTGTGAGATGCTGGGGGCATTTCTGTGTTTCTGTACTGGAAATGGCTTGTCCTCCTTGTCCTGTCACTCCAGGCCTGTGTCCAAAGTCTCCAGCTCTCTTGGAGCCTCTTTAGGCCCTGGAAGGGGCTCTGAGGTGTCCCTGAAGCCTTCTCTGCTCTAGGTTGAAGACCTCCAGCTCTCCCAGCCTGGCTCCAGAGCAGAGGGGCTCCAACAGACATAGAAACCTTGTCTGTGATCTTTAACCCTGCTCAGACTGCTGCCCTCATAAGGGTCACCTGTAACATAAAATCGGTGTCTCAGGGTTTCTTTAAATAAAATTGATCCAACCAGTAATAGCCATAATTTCACGTTTATTGCACAGGAGTGGTTTTTGGACGTGGGCATTAATGTGCATGTCTTACAGTTGTTGGCACTGGACAGCCTAGGTGAGTATTTGAGGAACCAGGGGCAGGAGGGAGAACAAAACTGAAGGAGGCAGCACATTCACCAGAACAGAGCAAATACATAAAAATGGGAGCATTCAGACTCACTGCTGTGGGAAAGCTTTCAGCTATTACCCTGATGAACATTTTAATCATGATACTGATATTGAATAAGAACAGTAATTACTTCACTGGAAGTTGTACTAGCAGAGGAAGAAGGGAAGATTCCCCTCCTGTAATTGTCATCAGCAAATCAGCCAAACTTCCAGCAAATACCAGGGGATTTTTCCCTCCCTGTGATGTCTTAAGCTCACGTCATCTTACAAACATTCCCCATGTCCTTTCATTTCCCAATCCTCCTCACTGTCCTGCTCCACAAGGTTTTCATGCTGCTCTTCATTTCTTGGTTCCTCAGGGTGTAGATGAAGGGGTTGAGCATGGGAGTGATGATGGTGTAGAACACAGAGACCACCTTGTCATCCGGGAAGGTGGCGGAAGGGCGCAGGTAGATGAAAATGCACGGCCCGAAGAACAGCAGCACGACCACGATGTGGGAAGAGCACGTGTAGAGAGCTTTGAGCTGCCCCTTGGGAGAGTGTGTCCTCAAGGAAACCAGGATAGCAGTATAGGATGCTGCAAGGCCACCAAAACAGCCCAGGGAAATCAGGCCAGTGCTGACGGCATTGCTGACACTGACGGTGTAGGTGTCGGCGCAGGCCAGCGCCAGCAAAGGGTGGACATCACAGAAATAGTGGTCCAGCCCGTTACTGGGCCCACAAAAGGGCAGCTGGAGGACCAGCAGGGTCTGCATCAGGGAGTGCACGAAGCCCCCCAGCCCCGAGGCTGCCACCAGGCAGCGGCAGACGCGCGGGCTCACGATGCTCGCGTAGTGGAGCGGCTTGCAGATGGCGACGCAGCGGTCGTAGGCCATCACCACGAGGAGGAAGACCTCAGTGCACCCAAAGAAGTGGGTGCAGAAAAGCTGAGCCATGCAGCCCGCAAAGGAGATGGTCCTGTCCTCCACAAGAAGGTCGTGGATGAGTTTGGGAGCTGAGATAGTGGAGTAACTGATGTCTACAAAAGACAAGTAGCTCAGGAAGAAGTACATGGGAGAGTTCAGCAGGTCACTTGTTCTTATTGTCATGATGATGAGCAGGTTTCCAAAAATTGTAGTGATGTAGAAGAGTAAAAATAATAAGAAGCAGACTTTTGCTACTGTCCTGTCTTGTGTCAGTCCGTGCAGGATGAACTCAGTCACATTGTTTGTGTTCTCCATAGACACCACTCAGGCAGGACCTGGAGCACAGAAAAGAGACAACAGCAGTGACATCAGACCTGGGGCAGTATCAGGACATGCACAAACTGACCTCTGGCATGTTAAATATTCAGCTTGTTGTTGTTGTTGTTGTATTTTTGGGACAATTTCAGTTTGAAGTCAATACTTTCCTAAAGGAATAACAGTGATATCTGAGCCAGAATGTTTTATTAACATAAGTAAAACCAAGCTCAGATTATTTAGCTGAGGAGGGTGGTAAAAACAAGACCCAGGTCCTGGACTTAGTTCTGAACACCTCATAAATACACCTTTAGTGACACTGGGGTAGTGAATGAGCTGTTGGTGACCCTCCCCTACTGACAAACACACACAAATTCACCTTTGCAGCATTCCCACACGCTACACAGCGATCACTACTGTGAGATATCCCTGGAGGTGCTCAAGACTACCTTGGATAGGGCTTGGAGCAACCCAATCTAGTCAGAGGTGTCCCTGCCTGTGGCAGGGGGGGTCAGAACAATATGAGCTTTGAGGTACCTTCCATCCCAAACCATCCTGTGATTCTAAATCTGTAATGGAGAGTGGGTTTTTTCCTAACCATAAAATAGACCCCACAAAAGTCACTCACCAGAAATGCTGCTTTTCAAAGGTAGGATTTCAGCCAGGCCTGAACAAAAGGAAGGGACAACCTCAGAACATTTACACTGAGAGCTTTCTTGCTGTCACTCTTCTGACAACCTCTCCAAACCACTTCAGGTGGTTTCATCAGAATGTCTCAGCTGCAGTTTGCTGCTTAGAAGTTGTGAAAGCAAGCAGAAACCTCTGCCAACTCTGAGCCCTGCAGTGGCTGAAAAGAACAGCCCAACTCTCTGTCTGCATTCCCCATTCTGAAAAAAAAAAAAACACCAAAACAACTTGCAAGAGCATCTACAAGAACAATTATTTCTGTAGCAGAAATAGTTCCAATAAATCGCACAGCAGAAGCACAAGACTATCAGGAGTAATGAGATCCCAGAGGCAAATGAAGTTTTGTCAGAAATCATCGGTGGACAAGGAGCTAAAATTGTTCTTTGAATAGTTATTAGGGTAGTGTCTGGAGAGAAGTGTTGGAGTAAAGATGTCTCTTACATAGGATATGTATATAAATTTATATAAAGTCTGCTGTCTGTCCTAAGCTAATATTTCTCATCTGCATCTTTATTTCTTATTAACTTGCTCTTACCACTGCACCAAAAAACAAAAACAAACAAACAAAAAACCAACCAACCAACCAGAAAAAGCCCCACACCTGTGTTACCAGTGTTACCCCTTAGATGACTGATGAACATAAATTTGAAACAAGAAGTAACACAAGAAATTACTTCAAAAATTTGGAAAGGTTTGTGCTGAGCTCTCTCTGCCTATCAGTTATTTTTACTGCCACAGTGCAAAGCACAGAAGCAACGTTTTAGCTCAAGTATGAAGTTCTTGTAAGAATTCTTAACAAAACGTAGAGGAGCCTAATGCTGCTTTCAGCAACAGCTTCCATAAGCTGTGGGTGAATACTTGCTCAGCAGCACTCAAAAATGAGACCTCCAAGCATTAATATTCAACTCCAAAGCATTTAAAAATGTATCTATTTTTAGTATTTTCTGTGTGTGTGTTATAAAGTTATAAACCCTATCTTGAACTGGGAATACCTTGAAACCTTCAACCCCACTTCAGGCAAGGAGTTGTCTTGGCTACTGGAATAGTTCCTAAACAATTCTTTTTTATTATTATTCACCCATGAATTTGTGCCTCCCAAGCCCTACTTTGGTGACTCCTTAATTTTTAACAGTCAGTAAAGTGTCTCTCATTAGATGTGTGATTCTATATTAGTCTAAAGATGAAAATAAAAAAAATGTGAGCCAGAGCTGAAGGATAGAGGGTGTGGTTGGAAGGATGGCAGCAGTGATGGGAGAAGTAAACAGAATTGTGGAATTATAGAATAACTGTTTGGGTTGGAAGGGACATTAAAGACCATCTCATTTCACCCCCTGTCGTGGGCAGGGAGACCTTCCACTAACCCAGGTTGCTCCAAGCCCCGTCCAACCTGGTCTGAAACACTTCAGAAAGGATTTGTTGAGGTGACAGGGGAAGGGGAGAAGTTTCCTTTCCCATTACTTACATCAGCAAAGGACTCAACTACCAGATAATACCAGGGTTTTGTATTTTATTTTTTTTAATGGGATGCTGAACAACATTTTCAGTACTTTTGACAGTATATATTTAAACACTGGTGTTGAGTTTGAGCTCGGGAGGCCCTGGTCTGGACCTGTGCTTGTTGACAAAGAATAGGCAGGGAATACCATCTCATCACAGAGTTCACAGTGTCTTTCCCCTCAAAAAATAAACCTTTAGTGCCTTCCTAGTTACAGCAGGAGCTACCAGCAAGCTGTCCTTTAAAGGACAGGCCGTGAGGAATTGTCACAAAAGAAATCACAGCGGAAGAGGCTCGCTTTTCTCCGATCCTTTGGAAACAGGACAGGTGGTCCTACACCTTTCCATTTTCACTCCCCACTTTTCTGCTCCACAGCTTTCTCACGGCGCTCTTCACCTCCTCGTTCCGGAGGGTGTAGATGAGGGGGTTCAGCATGGGTGCGATGATGGCGTAGAACACGGCCACGTCCTTGTCCTCGGCCAGGCTGCTGGACGGGCGGATGTAGACGAAGGTGCAGGGCCCGAAGAACAGGATCACCACGGCGATGTGGGACCCGCAGGTGGACAGGGCCTTGTGCCACCCCGCAGCCGTCTGGCCTTTCAGGGAGACCAGGATGAGCACGTAGGACGAGAGCAGGATGACGAAAGCGCTCAGAGTTATCAAGCCCCCGTTGAGCACCACGGCGGCGCCCGCCGGGCGGGTGTCGGCGCAGGCCAGGCGCAGCAGGGGGTGGACGTCGCAGAAGTAGTGGTCGATCCTGTTGGGGCCGCAGAACGGGAGGCGAGCGGTCAGCAGGAGCTGCAGGGAGGAGTGCAGGAAGGCCCCGAGCCAGGAGCCCAGCACCATGCAGCCGCAGGCGCGCCCGCTCACGAGGGCGGCGTAGTGGAGGGGCCTGCAGACGGCAACGTAGCGGTCGTAGGCCATGGCCGCCAGGAGGAAAATCTCGGCGCAGCCGAAGAAGTGGAACGCGAACAGCTGCGCCATGCAGCCCACGAAGGAGATGCTTTGACTCCCCACCAGCAGGCCAGCGATCATCCTGGGAGCCGTGGTGGAGGAGAAGCAGATGTCCACGAAGGACAGGCAGCAGAGGAAGAAGTACATGGGGGAGTTCAGGCGCTGGCTGCTGGTGACGGTGACCACGATGAGCAGATTTCCTGCCACGGTGATCAGATAGAAAGCCAGAAACAGCACAAAATATATCTTCTGCACCCCTCGGTTCTCCGAGAGGCCCAGGAGGATGAATTCCCTCACGCTGCTGGTGTTCTCCATGTTAAGCCGTTGGAGGGATATTCGATGCGGAACCTGGAAACGTGGGAAAAATAAAGGCAAAATGATCCATCGGGTTTTTTAATTATTAAAAATGAGTTACTTATCAGAAGTGCAGTCACACTAAGAAATATGTAGAATTAAAATTAAGTTTATCAAGAGTGTTTTCTGTGTGAGTTTTTGTGTTTTGTTTTGATTTTATGGTTTTTTGTTTGTTTTTTTTCCTGTGGGTTTTTGTTTGGTTTTTGTTTGTTTGTTTTGTTTTGTTTTTGGTTGATTTTTGTTGTTGATTTTTCTTTCCTTCCGCCTCTACATGTTTAATTTTTTAATGTACGAGACTTCAGCCATAGAACCATAGAATCCTGGAATGGGTTGAAAGGGACCTTCAGGACCATCTAGTTCCAACCTCCCTGCCATGGGCAGGGGTGCCACCCACTAAATCCCTCTGGGGTTGAGTCCAGCTGATCCAAGCTTTTGCTTTATGATTTAAAATCATAAACTCAGAAACTCTAGTACAGGCAAAAAGCTGCTCAAGCACACGCAGGAAACGCTGAAACGGAGAAAACCCAAAATTGCTCTCACACCCACAAAGTGAAGCCTAGAGAGGAAGTTGAGAAAGTTTGGGACTTTTCCTGTCCTTCCAGTAGTACTGGCAGGAGGTAAAAGGACATTCAAGAAAGGGGGCAAAATTTGCATGTCTTACCTCTAAAAGTATCTTTTAAGGGATGGATTAGAGGTACATGATATAATGCAGTCAATTGCAATACGAAATAAATGCAATGTGGACTGTTTTAATTTCAAAAAAGGATGAGAAACTGCACCACCTCCTTATTGCAAGTGTTTTCCCCTAAAATCTCAGGGAGTTAATGGGAAGCAGAATTAAACAACTTAATTTAGGACAGCAGGACTGGCTCTGTACGTGGTTCTGGGCAAAGAGAGCCAGAGATGATTCAGAGAAAATTTCTTTTTTGTATTTTCACATTTGTTAAATGAGGAGGGAAAAGAGGAAAGGAAATCAGAGAAAGGAAAGAAAAGAGGAAGGAAAGGGAAAGGAACTAGAGAACTGGTAAAACTTACCTCCTCTGTGTTTGAAGATCTAATTTTTTTGTGTAAGGGCTGTAAGATTTTATCCCCTCAACATCTGCTTTTCCTGGTATGCATGAGTTAGAGCCCAGTCTTTAAAAACATGTAACACCTTCTGGAAAGCTTCCAATGCTTGCTTAGGAGGTGAAATAATCCCACCTAATTTTATTTATTGCTTTCCTGTATCACCAGGTGTATCTTGATGTTTCCTGCCCACGAGAGCTGGTTTGGAGGCTGCTTGGAGATGGGTGGGCACTGAAGGATGCACACACAGCCCAGCAAGCAGAGAGAAGGCTGAGAGGAAAATTGTTTAAGTAGCTCTTCTTAACCATCTCCAAGGAAATCTCCCACCTCAAGGGCTTAATTCCCTGTTTATGTAGAACTCCTGCACCCTCTCCAAGGAAATCTCTCCTCTCGAGGGCTCTGAGGGCTGCAGGAGGGAGGTGTGAAGGCTCAATGAAAGGAACTTGGGAAGGAGGAGAAATTAATCCTGTGTTATGGAGGGAAGTTTAGATCAGATATTAGGAAAAAATTTCCTCACTGACAGGGTGCTCAAGGGACTTAAAACTTGTGTGGAGGTGGCACTTGGGGACACAGCTTAATGGTGGCCTTGGCAGTGCTGGGAGAACTGTTGGACTCAATGATCTTAGAGGGCTTTTCCAACGGGAATGATTCCATGATTCCTTGAAACAGAGCTGAATATTAAACTGGACAAGCATGTGATGTGACCAAGTCCAGTTAACTATTCCCAGAATCCATCATGAAACCTGGATTTGTGGTTTTCCTAAGACTAGAGGCCCATTGGATCCTCTGCTTTGGCTTTGTAGTTTTGTGAGAGATAAAACAGGACTTCTAAATCCCTTTTTATTCCAAAAAAACCCCCACCATCAAGTAGGAATCTTCATTAAAATAAATAAAAATAAATAAAAAAATCAGAGATCTCTAGTAGTAAGTAGAAAAGAGACACAAGATGGCCCAGGTCACCTCTTGATGACCCTCCAAGTCCCTGTTTTACATGAAATTTCATCACTGACAGCCCAGTGAATAAAGACTCTTGCAAGAACTTGCATGTTTCAGCAAAAGTCAGTGAATTACAGAGTAAGGGGAAAAAACCCCTTATTTTACAAATTGGGAAACTGAGGGAGGGGAGGAAGTCAGCTCCTGCACATCTGTGGAAGTCAGCTGAGTTGAGTCTTTGTGACTCCAGGCTTTCCTGTGATCACCTGATCAATTAGGGGGAATGGGTTTAAACTGCCAGAGAGCAGGGTTAGATGGGATGCTGGGAAGGAATCCTTGGCTGTGAGGGTGGTAAGGCCCTGGCACAGGTTGCCCAGAGAAGCTGTGGATGCCCCATCCCTGGAATTGTTCAAGGCCAGGTATGAGCAGCCTGCTCTAGTGGTCGGTGCCCCTGCTCATGGAGTGGGTTGGAATTCAATTATCTTCAAGGTGCCTCCCTACCCAAACCATTCCAGGATTCAATGAATTTAAGCATCACTTAAACTCATCACTGCTCTGAAGTTTACTGTGTGTTTTTAAATTCTGATATGTGGGCATCAATAAATAGTTTCATCCACGGCCCATTCCTTTGTTCTCTTGACATTTTTACATTGCAGGTCACATCAGCCGAGGTGATGTGACCATCTCCTGACACAGAATGCCAGTGATCCATGCAGGGAAAAGAGAAACCCTCCAATTTATGAGGAGGTTAAATACTGCTCTGGGGTGAAAATAGCCTTTTAATTTAAATATCATTTTACACTGGAGTCCTGGCCAGGTTACTAAGGGCTACCGGCAACGACTGTAGGAAAAAATATTGGGTAAGGAAGTAAAACCAGTCTTACAATCTTTGGGAAAGGAAGAGGAAGATGAACAAATATGTATCTGAGCTGCTAAGCAAATTCGGGCTGAATCTGCCCATTTCTGTCCCCCCTGATGCACATGGCAATAATTTTGCTCTGTTTCCTCTCCCTTTGTTGCCCTGACCGGATGGACCAGCAGGAGTGATTCATGCACAAGTTAAAATCGAGAGTTGCTGGTACCTCCTGTTGTGAAATAGTTTTGTAAGGACACAAGCTGCCAGGAAGGGAGGGAGAAAGGTGTGTTCTCTGCTTTCACTCCCCTTCCTTTGGGTCTGGGCGCTGTGGTGGGGGTCCTCGTGGATGTGTGGGGTGCGTGGTGAGAAGATGAGTGGGATGTTGGGAGTACGTGGTGAATTCTGTGTGGGGCAGAGCCGTGAGTTTGGCTGGTGGGCAGGATGGGGCTGAGGTGCTGTTTGGGGGGAAGTTGTGAAACTGGAAGAGAAAGGCTGTAGGCTGGAGGCTTTCTTGAGGCATTTTGTGAAATCGGAAGTGCCCGAGGTGTGGTGAAGGACTGTGCTGAAAGACTGAAAGACTGAAAGGCAGGTGGGGTGTGGAGTTGCACTGAAAGAGCTCCTGACACCAGAATTATGCACTAGGGGCAGAACAAGCAGAGGCTGGGAATTTATAGCTGCTGAGGTGTGAAGTTTGGGTGGACCCTCCTCCAGGGAAGGTTGGATGAAACAATAGGAACCAAATAGGATGCTGAATTTTGTTGGGAGAGGCTGTGGGTCAGGAGAGGACAGTGTGGTGGTGGGTGTGTTATGGTTGGGCAGGGACAATAGGGATGAGCAGCTGTGCAGAGGGAGGTTGCAAAACCATCAGCAACCGTGTTTTGGGAGAGGACTGAAAATTTCTCTGTGACCCCAAGCAGCAGGGGCTCTGAAACCAGAGCATCTCAGGGACATGGGTATGAAACATCAGAGCAAGAGGCAAGGGATAGGTTTGTATGGACAAAACTGGCTGAAAAGAGGAGAATTAGTAAAAAAAAAAATTGTTTCCATGACACTGTGAAGAGGGGAGGGGGAAGTGGCTCAGTTATCACAGACACACACACACACACACACACACACGTGTTTCCCCCAGAGAGTGATTGGCTGGTGGGTGTCATGCTGGCTTTTTAAAGAGTCTGATTAGCCCAGCAGTGCAGTATTGACACAAGGACCTTGTCTGGACCCTATGCCACAGAACTCGGGGGACAATACTGCCCAGAAGGTCCACACCAGGCAGCTGCTGCAAAGCAGTTGCTGAAATTCCAAGGAACCCACAAAAAGGTGAGAAATTCCTGGATGGATCTTTGCCATTGCACTCTAATGCTTCCTCTCAGGCTTTTGGGGAAATGGTGAGGGAAAGGGAGGAAAGCCAGAAACAGTGGAGGAGAGAAGAAGATCAAATATTCTCCTGCTGGTTAGAAATTTGCTGTAGGTCAGATCATGGTCATAATCATTTTCAAGGTAAGAAGAACTTCATTCCATAGATGCTTTTGCATGAACAAGTGCTATTGGATTGCTCTAAATACACCTCTGTAATTTAAATGTCATTATTTAGAGACCCACATTACAGCAGCATAACTTTCTGTCCATAATCTAAGTGGTTTTGCAGGCAGGTTTTGCAGGTAAAGCACAGGGAGGGTGGTTAATTCCAAGACAAAAAAAGACCACCTGGACTCAGGCTGCTGCTGTTTGAGGAGCACATTCACTGATTAGTTTCATTAAGGAAGTAGATTTCTGTCTTGGATGTGTCCTGGAGACAAGAATTCAGTCTTTCCAAGGGAATACACTGGCACTCAAATGTTCATGACCTCTCCAAATGGACTGGAAACTTGCTTCAGATTTGAACAGATATCTTGTGGCAGAGAGAGCAGTGCTTTGGGTCTTCTAAAGGCCAGGAAACCGCTTTAACCACCAGGTCTTCCTCTGTCCTGGCAGCAGAGTTGCTGCACAGTTTGATGCTGCTTCAGCTAACTTCTTCTGTGAACCAAAATCCCATAATTTGTGGCCACCCCAGAAGCAGGTGGTGAGGGAGGAATAGCCACAAGGCTGGGCCCTAAAGTCTTAGGGTTAGACTTGAGGTCCTGTAAGAGCTGAGAATGGGATCATCCACCACTATCTAACAGTGTGGTGCAGTGCCAGGAGTCCCCTGCTTTCAGTCAACCCTAGAGGAAATCATAGAATCCTGGAATGGTTTGGGTTAGAAGGGACCTTAAAGATCACTGAATTCCAGCCCCCTGCCCTGGGCAGGGACAGCTTCCACTGGAACAGGTCACCTCAAGCCCTGTCCAACCTGGCCTTGAAATTCCCTGCATCACATGTTTCTCTTGCCTCTGTCCATGCAGAACTGTGGTCATTGTGTCTGGAGTGCTGGGATGAAACAAGGGTGATTCAGTCTGTCCCATTTTGTGGGTTTGGAAGTCTGTCTCCATGTGTTTTACAAAGAGAGAACAGAGGGTTCATGCTGGTTAGACGCTTCAGTGACTTGGTTCCCAGCAAAGTCTATTTTGGCTTGTTCCTCTCTTCTTTTTAACCCATCTCTCACGACACTTCTCTGCCTACCATGTCCAAATTTGCAGCTGACCGAGAGAGAGCAAAAAACCACAGTATGTGTTCTCATCAGATCAAAAAAAAAAAAACCAAACCAAAACAAAAAAAGCTGTTGAACCTATTTTTCTACTTTTTCTTATTATCAGGGTTCTCATTCAGATCTCAGTACTGTGGGAGAGGAAACAGTGTCAGGGAATGGGGTGAATTATCAGACCCATAAGTCCAATGTCCTGTGAGGATGAGATATTTTGTGGTTTCTTGCATGTGGTTCTTACAGTTTCTGAGGAACAGGCTGACTGTGCCAGACCAAAATGTTTATTGTCTGTACACAGGACCCAAGAGAACTAACCAACCACATTAAATGGCAAATTAATATCTTAATTAAAATAGAAATCAGTCATCTTTTTATAGAATGAAATGTTTCCATAGAATCATAGAATCACAGAGTGGTTTGGGTTGGAAGGGACCTTGAAGCTCCTCCAGTTCCAACCTCCTGCCACGGGCAGGGACACCTTCTTCCTACTGTGTTTTCTGACCATGCACATAGGACTGAACTCAATCAGTTTTTACACTAATTAAACATGTTTGTTAATTGCCTGGAACCTTCACACAGTTCTGACAAGCTTTTTGTCCCACCTAATCCTTTCTCCGTGGGACAATTATCCCAGAGCTGTTAATGCTGACTTCTGTTTGGCTTTGAACTGACATCAGGTGGGTTTAGATCTGGGAAAAAATTCTTGCTGTGAGGGTGGTGAGGCCCTGGCACAGGTTGCCCAGAGGGGGTCTGGAAAACCCATCCTAAAGTTGTTTAAGGTCAGGTTGGACAGGGCTTGGAGCAACCTGGTCTAGTGGAAGGAGTCCCTTCCAGGGAGTGGAACTGGATGAGCTTTAAGGTCCAAGTTCTAGCTACAAAGAGCTGGAACAAAACCAGGAACACCATGAGGTCACCGTGATGGAAAGTCACCTGGGAGTTACCACCTCTGCCCTCTCTTTTTCCAGGTGTCTGGAATCACCCATGATGGGTTCCTCAGCCCCACCAATCTTCCTCCCAGCCACAACCGCCCAGGCTCTTGGGACTAACCAGAGCGGGGCTGTTGGACAGCAGGAGCCATCCTATGCTGTCTTGAAGTTCATGGAGAGCTTCTGCCTCATCAGCTCTGCCTGTGGGATGGTGGGGAACGCCCTGGTCCTGTGGTACCTGGGCTTCCGCATCCGCAGGAACCACTTCACTGTCTACATCCTGAACCTGGCGGCCGCCGACTTCGGCTACCTGCTCTGCATCGCCATCGAGACCGTCCAGTACCTGATGCAGTTCAACGTGGGGGTGCAGTTTGGGATATTCCTCTTCCTGGATCTCTTCATGTACGGGACCGGCCTGTACCTGCTGACGGCCATCAGCATCGAGCGGTGCCTGTCTGTGCTCTCTCCGATCTGGTGCCGGGCCCACCGCCCCAAACACCTGTCTGCCGTCATCTCGGGCCTGCTCTGGGCTCTGTCCCTGCTGCTGAACACGCTGGGGTACGTCCTGTGCACCGTCCGCCCCTCTCCCGGGCGCTGCCGGAGCCTGCTCATCGCCATCGGCACCTTCGACTTCCTCGTCTGTGCACCCCTCATGCTGCTCTTCAGCCTCACCCTCTTCCTCAGGGTCAAGTGCAGCTCCCAGCACCTCCAGACGGGCCGGCTCTTCACTGTCATCATGCTCACCGTCCTGCTCTTCCTCATCTTCGCCGTGCCCCTCAGCGTCCTCATCCTCTTCGACTTCCTGGGCTACAAATTCCTCTACTCCCCGGAGATCGGCTTCATGCTGTCCTGCGTCAACAGCACCCTCAACCCCGTCATTTACTTCCTGGTGGGGAGCTACAGGGATCGGAGATTCAGGCTCACCCTCAGGCTGGCATTCCAGAGGGCCTTTGAAGAGTCAGGGGACGACAAAGATGAGCGGGAAACCAGGGACTCAGTGACTATGACCTCCTAAAAGCCTGGCCTAGAGACAAGAGTTGGCAGAGTCGAAGAACTCCGAGGCTTTGGGGAGGGTTCATCGCACCTGACCTTCGGTATCCTCACTGTAGATAGTTCGGCTGATTATTTCGAGTTCTGTCTGTGATCAGTGAAATCATGCCAGGACCTGGACCACGGAATTTTCCTGAACTGTATTTGGACCGCATTAAAAGTGCCTGTTTGTTTTCAGTGACTATTAAATAGCATTAATTTGATAAGTTGAAATGCCTTAGTGTCTGAATTTTCTCAAAGGATTCACGCTTAGAATTTGCGCTTCACTCAAAAAATCCTTGTCGTTCCTAAGTGCATGAATTTTCAGTCACTTGTCACTAGGATCTCTGAAGATGAGATGGGAAATAACCCTCCTCCTGTTGAAATCGGGCATAAAACTCCTGCAAGGAGGAGGAATTTCTCCCACTTCATTTTAAATATCCATATCCGAGCACACTTTTGCAGCTCAGAGAGCCATTCTGGGCTTCCTAATGGGAGCATTTTAAAGAGTGAAATTATTTTGATTTCTTCCAGCCCTGGACAGAGTTTTTGCATCTAACTGAAGCTTGAATTTCTTCTTGTCTCTTCCTTGAAAAGGACAGATAAGAATCCATGGCTTTTAAATCTCCTTTACCAATAAAAATAATTTCAAGGTTAGGGAAAAAAAATGCAGGGAACAGAAAAAGGTAAATAAATAACAGGATTTGCAAGAAACTATTCTGTAGAACCAATCCCTTGAGGTGCAAAATTGAATTATTTGTCCTATAAAACTACCTAACATTTATTCTTTGAACCAAAACTGTTAGGAGAAGGAAACATAGGTAATTTTCTTTGAAAAACCTTCACTCCTTTATCTGGAATTGTTTTCCTAAAGGGAAGCTTCTTTCTTCTATTATTTTTTACATTTTTTTCTGTTACTTTGCCTTTTTATTAATTTAAAAAGCATCACTTAAAAGAATTAGTGGTTCATCCTAATGCCTGTAGTTGCTTTTTGTTTCCTGTTTTGAACTCCTGAAAGCTGAAATTTGAGTCTACTTTCTACTGTTCTCTAATTTTTAATGCTATTTTTCTGTAATGTACATACAGGTGATACACAATTTGTTCCCTTGGGATCTCTTGGGACCTCTCACAAAGAAGCTGTTTTTACATCACCTTAAAATGAAGAAGGAATGAACCCATAAAGTCCAATTTCTTCTGAACACAGACCAACTTTTAGGGCACTGATTTCCAGTCCTCTCTGAGTAGAGGAAATGACTAATGGAAAGAAACTTTGGAAGATAAATAGGATGGAAAAATATCCTCCTTCACTGACAGATATTCCTGGGCTATATGCATTGTTTCTGTCCTGATAATTATATTAATATTAGCACACACTTAATTGCTTTGTTTTATTGATCTCTGTTCTTAATTGATGAATCTCATGGATATTTGGCAATATGGATTTTCTCCATCTTGTATATTCATTACACCTGTTTTGGAGCTTCCTTAGGATGTCTTTCCATCATAACTGTGCTTTGCATTAGGGAAGGATCTGAGAAGAACCAGGAATCCTCATTGCACAATACGTACGGGAGGAAATAACACTGCAATTACTGTCAAAGACAGAACTAAATATAAGGCAAATTGTAATTAGAATAAACAGAGGGCAAAATGAAGAGAGAAAATGGGGACTGGACCCGATAAATAACTTTTTATTTAATGCACAGGAAGAATGCCACTGAGCCAAAGGAGACAGAGTTTATTCCCTGGGAATGGGGCAGGAAGGGTCATTCCAGGGGAATGCAGCCAGGGAACAGGACCCAGCCCCGCTACCCTGGCTCTGAGCCACGGGCCCCCAAACCCCCACACTTCTGGCTGTCCGGGAGGTGCCACATCTCCAGCTCACCTCACCAGCAGGGCCTTACAGAGAGGTCACCCTCACCTCAGTGTCCCCACTCCCGTGGCTCCCCTCCTCATCCCCTGCTTTCTCCTCAAAGGCGCGTCGGAGCGCAACTTTGACGGAGCGGTGGAAGCGGCGCTGCCGGCAGCTCCCCACCAGGACGTAAATCACAGGGTTCAGGCAGCTGTCCAGCAATGCCAACAGCAGGGGGATGTCATCTTCAGGGAATAATTCCCCGGAGCTGGGAAGATTGAGGAAAACATCTAAGCAGAAGGGAATACCGAAAGCAAAGAAGACGATGATGTTGAGCAGGACGGCAACGTAGAGCCTGCCTGGGTGTCGCCTGCGGGAGCCACAGCAGAGCTTGGTGAGCAGGAGCAGGTTGGAAACCAACATCAAGAGCGACAAAATCACAGAAAAGGCCAGGACTACACCTGGAAGCACTTCCCCAGAGCGTTCACTGACGGTGTAGGTGACGTAGAGCGAGGAGACAAAAAGCCCAGCCAGGGCCCACAGCGCCCCGCTCACGATGCCCGACAGGTGCCTGGGGCGGTGGCAGCGGTACCAGAGGGGGAAGAGGACGGACACGCAGCGCTCCACGCTGAGGGCTGTCAGCAGCCCCAGGCTGCTCAGGTCAAACACGTGGCACAGAAACCCAATGACAAATACAAAATCCATATAGAGAGGAAAAAGTACAGTCAAATAAGTACAAAATGTTACTAAGGTAAAAAGGAACACTAGAATCAGGAAAAGGAGGAGGATGAGGCAGAAGTCAGCCACAGCCAGGTTTAGGATGTAGACAGTGAAAGGGCTGTGCTTCATGTGGAAGCCCAGGAACCACATGACCATCCCATTCCCCACAAGCCCACAGAGGGAAATCCCCAGGCAGATACCCCCAAAGACAATCAGCTTGTAGGAAATGATCGAGCAAGTATCGTTGATAAATTCCTCAATGTCCAGAGCTCTCAAAGTCATGTTCAGAGTGAGGTTCCTTGGGTCAGTCTCCTCCATGGCTAATGACCCTGCTTCAGGTGGCTGCCTTCTCCCTTTCCCACCACCTCCTAGGAGACACAGGGAACCAGAAGGGAATGAGGACCACCAGTGCTCCCAGCACCCTCCATCTGTCCCCACGCTCCCATGTCAGACCCAGGAAGAACCCCACTATGCCCAGGACAGGCTCCCACCCCTCCAGCCCTATCTCTGGACAGGAGGCATCTCCCACCTCTCCATCCCTGCACTCCTACCTCCTGCTGCTCCTGGGAACAGTGCTGTCACAGGAGCCCTGGCACACGGGACCTCCGGGCTTGCCAGGAGAATGGGTCTGGTGGTGGCTGCTGGAACCACCTGCTGTGCTCACTCCCCTTTTGCCAGGGGGGCAGATCTTCAGCCAGAGATCATGCACCATGGTCAGGAGCCTCCCCTCACAATCTCTCCACATCGGTGACAGCTTCCCCTCACATGTCCTGTGTACGGAGATCTTGTCAGCAGAGTTGGCCACGTCACCTCTTTCTCTCCCCCTGCCATTCTCCACCATGCAACGGGCTTCTGGCTTCCTCTGTGTGAACCTGCTGGTCCATCTGTCAATGCAGCAGGGGGCATAAATCATTCCCCAGAGTGGAGGCTGAGGGAGATGAGCCAGGCACCTTCGAGAGTGAGCAGTCACTGATGTGTAGACGTGCAACAGCACCAGGGCTTTGCTCAGTGCCTCTGATGACATGTAACTGGTGATCAAAACCTCTCCCAGCTTTCTTCTGGGACACACTTCCAGCATCTGCACCTGTCTGTAGACCCATCTCCACCCCCTCTCACTGAGGTACCCTCAGCTTTGCTTCAAGTCTGCCTCTGGACCCAACTCCTGCAGCTCCAGGCCGGATGTCCTGGAGAGACTGTGGACCTTGGTCATTAACAAGGATGTCCTTGGAAGACATGAGTTTTGGGGATGACACGCCTAGGACATAACTCCAAAGGAGACAGAACGCACGTGAAAGAGGGACAGAAAACTTGCAATAAAATGCACAGTCCCTGTGCTGTGAAAGGTTGAGATTGTGAGGTAGGAACCCCTTGGAGATAAGAACACGTTGTCAGCACCATGTACCCCACAAAAAGTAATCTAAGAGGAGACATGTCTGACAGGGGTGTGATTAGAGGCAAAGCCCTCATGTTGTTCTGTATCTGAGCACTGGTGGTTTCTCGTGGCAAGTGAAGGCAAGGCCAATGTTTGTCCCCACGGGCTCATCAGAGGAGTGTTTTGACCCAGGATTCTCAGCACCAGAAAGGGCATAATATTATCTATGCTGTCCCCTCCTTCTCCATAGTTTTAAATTCATTTATATTTAAAATTTAAACTCCTAGTCATTGTAGTAATGGGATCATAATAGATCAGCACCTCCTGCTGAAGAATGGGGGGGTGGAGTGTAAGGTGGTGGTATAGCCAGCTCCTGCTGACAAGATCTCCGTACACAGGACATGTGAGGGGAAGCTGTCACCGATGTGGAGAGATTGTGAGGGGAGGCTCCTGACCATGGTGCATGATCTCTGGCTGAAGATCTGCCCCCCTGGCAAAAGGGGAGTGAGCACAGCAGGTGGTTCCAGCAGCCGCCACCAGACCCATTCTCCTGGCAAGCCCGGAGGTCCCGTGTGCCAGGGCTCCCGTGACAGCACTGTTCCCAGGAGCAGCAGGAGGTAGGAGTGCAGGGATGGAGAGGTGGGAGATGCCTCCTGTCCAGAGATAGGGCTGGAGGGGTGGGAGCCTGTCCTGGGCATAGTGGGGTTCTTCCTGGGTCTGACATGGGAGCGTGGGGACAGATGGAGGGTGCTGGGAGCGCTGGTGGCCCTCATTCCCTTCTGGTTCCCTGTGTCTCCTAGGAGGTGGTGGGAAAGGGAGAAGGCGGCCACCTGGAGCAGGGTCATTAGCCATGGAGGAGACTGACCCAAGGAACCTCACTCTGAACATGACTTTTGGAGCTCTGGACTTTGAGGAATTTTTCAACGATACTTGCTCGATCATTTCCTACAAGCTGATTGTCTTTGGGGGTATCTGCCTGGGGATTTCCCTCTGTGGGCTTGTGGGGAATGGGATGGTCATGTGGTTCCTGGGCTTCCACATGAAGCACAGCCCTTTCACTGTCTACATCCTAAACCTGGCTGTGGCTGACTTCTGCCTCATCCTCCTCCTTTTCCTGATTCTAGTGTTCCTTTTTACCTTAGTAACATTTTGTACTTATTTGACTGTACTTTTTCCTCTCTATATGGATTTTGTATTTGTCGTTGGGTTTCTGTGCCACGTGTTTGACCTGAGCAGCCTGGGGCTGCTGACAGCCCTCAGCGTGGAGCGCTGCGTGTCCGTCCTCTTCCCCCTCTGGTACCGCTGCCACCGCCCCAGGCACCTGTCGGGCATCGTGAGCGGGGCGCTGTGGGCCCTGGCTGGGCTTTTTGTCTCCTCGCTCTACATCACCTACACCGTCAGTGAACGCTCTGGGGAAGTGCTTCCAGGTGTAGTCCTGGCCTTTTCTGTGATTTTGTCGCTCTTGATGTTGGTTTCCAACCTGCTCCTGCTCACCAAGCTCTGCTGTGGCTCCCGCAGGCGACACCCAGGCAGGCTCTACGTTGCCGTCCTGCTCAACATCATCGTCTTCTTTGCTTTCGGTATTCCCTTCTGCTTAGATGTTTTCCTCAATCTTCCCAGCTCCGGGGAATTATTCCCTGAAGATGACATCCCCCTGCTGCTGGCATTGCTGGACTGCTGCCTGAACCCTGTGATTTACGTCCTGGTGGGGAGCTGCCGGCAGCGCCGCTTCCACCGCTCCGTCAAAGTTGCGCTCCGACGCGCCTTTGAGGAGAAAGCAGGGGATGAGGAGGGGAGCCACGGGAGTGGGGACACTGAGGTGAGGGTGACCCCTCTGTAAGGCCCTGCTGGTGAGGTGAGCTGGAGATGTGGAACCTCCCGGACAGCCAGAAGTGTGGGGGCTTGGGGGCCCGTGGCTCAGAGCCAGGGTAGCGGGGCTGGGTCCTGTTCCCTGGCTGCATTCCCCTGGAATGACCCTTCCTGCCCCATTCCCAGGGAATAAACTCTATCTCCTTTGGCTCAGCAGATGAGTTTCATGCTGTTTTGAGGGATCTCTTGGTTTTAGAGAGTGTGACACAGTAAGCCCTTGGGATGCATCCAGCGCGGGGCCGCGGTGATCTCACAGATCTCTGTGGGGCTGATGCCTCTAGATGGCAGGAGAGGGGTTGGGATCGCAAGGAACACCCTTCCCCTTCTGTCCCAAGAGCAGCTCGGCAGAGCTGGCTCTGCATTCACGGCGTCTTTGAGAGGAAACAACCGTACACCAGGCAGGGCTGCAGAGCTGGGGAAGGAACTACAGCTTTCCCTTGCACTTTAAGTGAGAATTTGTTAGATTCTTTAATTCTAGCATTAAATCATTCCGAGTGAAGTGTAGGTTCGGTAGTGCTGGGGGATTACAGGAGGTGTGTTCCTGGTACTCATGTTCACTCCAGTAAGTTGTTGCCCCTGGAAGTCTGTGGATGGTCCATCCCTGGAAGTGTTCCAGGCCAGGTTGGGCAGGGCTTAGAGCAACCTGGTCTAGTGGAAGGCATCCCTGCCCGTGGCAGGGGGTTGGAACTGGATGCATTTTAAGGTCCCTTCCAACCCAAACCACTCTGTCATTCTGTGAGATAACACAGAGCAGCTGAGGATGTTGGATGCCAAATATCTCCTCTCTGATGACAGAGAGCAGCACAGCTGGCAAATGCCCGCTCTGGCACAGATCACAAAGCCCTCTCCAGGCTCTGCTTCCGACCATGCCATGAAGCAAAGCAGGGGATGACCAGATCAGATGGGCTTGGCAAGCTACACACACCAATTCCTGTGCTCATACCAACTCCACTGAACACACCTTTGCAGCCACGACCAAAAAGAGCTTGAAATATGGAAATTCACAGAAGCAGATGCTTGGAACTCTTAAATTTTTAGAAATTAGGGTGTTTTAACTGCTTTTCTGCAGAATGGGGGCATCCTTTAATTCCCCAGCATCAGCATGAAGAGGAAGCCATTCACCACCTCCATCCTGAATCTGGCCACCCTCAGGAGGAGCTCAGCAGCAACTCTGCACAGTGGCTTTAATGACTAACCAAAATCCTGGCTGTACTGTTCTTTTTCACTTTGCTGCTACCCCTGAATAAAATTTGTATTTCTTTCTTCTGTTTGTTTCCAGCGTGGTAACTCTGACCCATAAATTTGTTAAATAAACAGCATCTGGGCTTTGCTGCAGAGCTTGTCACTGGTGAACAGAGTAAGGCTGACTCAGCATAAGAAAATGGCTCATTTCCTCTATTTCTTCTCATTCTAAAGCCTCTAAAGCCTATCCTTCAGATCCATTATTTCGTCAAGGGCTGACAGACATGGAGGGGAGAGAGAAGCAGGGAAAGCACTGCCACTTCCCCTCTACCCAGAGAATTCCTGAGCCAGGCTACAGGGATTGAGTCCTCATAGCCTCAACAGGTTCTTTTCCATGAAAGGTCCAGTTTTCCTTTTCCTTCCCTCTCCCTGCATCCTCTTTCACACAGAAAATCCCACCTTTCCTGAGTCTCCAGGCAGAGCTCATTTAGTTTTAATCCTCCTCCTGTTGTTTTTCCCAGACGAGGAGCAGACTCCCCAGAAGTGGGGCCAGCCCTCAGGTCGTGGTTGCGACACTCTGCTCGAGCTAAAACCGTCCAGACAGCCCGGAGGAAAGTGGGAGGATCCACAGGATGCAGGTCCAGCCCCAAACCCTTGCGTGCAGGCAGCCCACACGATGTGCAGACCAATCTCAGTGTGCAGCAGGAGCGATGCACTTTTGGTGAAAAACTTCCAGAGGGGATCCCAAAAACACATTCCCGCTGCCCCTGGTAACAAAGCTGAGTGTGAAATCTCCACATAGTATCCCCATGTGTCAGGAATTGTCCAGGAATTGTTCTGCACTGCTGTGCCAAGATATTCACCTGCACTCTGGTTTTTAGCAGACACATCAAAAAAAAAAAAAAAAACCAACCCTGGCAGGAGCTCTGAGCCCTGGTGAATTGGTTTTAATAGTCCACAGGGTAGAGAAGCTCAGTTTTGAGACAGGAAAAGCTCAGACCTGTTGAATAGGAAAGACTCAAAGCAGATTTCAAAGCAACAAGTCTTGTGAGTGTCCCTGCCTATGGTGGGGGGGTTGGAACTAAATAATCATTAAAATTCTTCCCAATCCGAATCACTCTGTGATGATTTCATGATTATTCATCACATCATCCAGCATCCACCCCAGGCAGGAGTTCCCCTGCCACCCACCACGTTTCCTTGTGCTGCAGTTAACTCCACTCAGCCAGACCCACATCAGTATTGCCACAGGACACCTCCATCCCCAGAGCATCTCAGAATCATAGAATTGGGGTGGCAGGGGTTTAAACAGCTGGCTTAGGGTGGATTTTAGGAAAAGGTTCTTTACCAGAAGGTGATCAGGCACTGGAACAGGGTCTCCAGGAATCCTGACAGAGCTCAAGGAGCATTTGGACACACTCTCAGGCACATGGTGAGATTGTTGAGGTTGTCCTGTGCAGGGCCAGGAGTTGGATTCAATGATCATCATGGGTCCTTTCCAACTCAGGATATTTTATGATTCTATTTTATGATTATTTTATTTTATAATGATTCCACTGTGTTGTCTTTATTTTGAGGCTCTGACACATCTTCAAAAGCCCTTTGGAAGGCAGCACTAACAGAGAGTGTGAACTTCTTTGCACAGCTCCCAGCCAAGAAGTAAATAAGAGGGTGGACGCTGCTGTTGGCACAGGCGAGCGGGAGGGAGGCGCTGAGGACAAAGACAGAAAAATCAAACACCCTCAGCAAGAGCCAGTACCCAAAATCAGCAGTGAAGAAGGGGAAGAAGATGACAGCCAGCAGCACCACAGCACAGAGCTTCCTTGGAGGATGTTTGCATGAGCAGCACAGGACAATAAGCAGGGTTAGAGCAGAGCAGATCAGGGTGAGCACCGATAAGAGGTAGCTCAGGACGAAGGCAGCGAGCGCCGAAGGGTGGAAGTAGAGGGTCGTGGTGAGCAGGAAGGAGAGGACCCAGAGCAGGGCACACAGGAGCACTGGGAAGCGCTGGGAGTGGTGGCAGGGACAGTGGGACAGGGGTAGGACAGACAGAGCTGTCACAGCACTGAAGGCTGTCAGCAGGTAGACACTGGCAGTGAAGGCGAACAGAATGGTGATGTTCAGCACGGTTGTCACTCCCTGTGAGCCCAGCTCGTGGCAGAGGCTCTCTGGGACATAAAATATCCCCAGGGAGAGGGTGATGGAGAGGAGGAAGGTGCAGTCAGCGATGGCCAGGTTGAGGATGAAGATGGTGACGGGGTTCCTGCGGATTTGGAAGCCGAGGAGCCAGAGGACAGCCCCGTTCCCAACCATCCCACAGAGGCAGATGAGCAGCGTGACAGGGACTTTGCTCAAGTGGCTGCTCTCACAGTCAGTCCAGCTGTAGGGGTTGTCCTCACTCCAGCTCCCGTTAGGTGCCATCCCACCGGATTTGCCCCAGCAGGCGGGGCTGGCTCTTTCCGTGGCAGGGGACGTGTCCATTGTGACACCTGTGCTGCTCCTCCTTCCCCTCACACAGCTGGAGGGGAGAGAAACAGAGACACATCAGCAACACTCTGTCTACACACGTGGCTTTTCCCATCTTGTACCATGCCCCAACTTCCACATGGAGGGGTACAGAGAGAGGTGAGGGACAGGACAAATGGAAAATAGGATGTGGGATGTGGATATGGACATGCCTGGCACAAAACCCAGGGAGATGCCTCCTTCCTGGATTTGGACAGGACAGATCTGGAGGAGCAAAATAATTGAAGAGGGACATCTTTGGAGGTAACAAAGAACAAGAGGCTTTGGGGTGGGTCTGATCTGCATTCTCAGGTGTCTAATATTGTAGTTGATATCACTGACCTGCTGGGTTCCTTCAGCAGCACACTCATTTCAGCATCCACCCCCCCCCCCCGCCTTTTTCCATAATATTTATAGGTCTTAATACCCTACAGACCACTATTCCCAGATCAGATTTGGTGAAAATTGATGACCAGGTTCCACACCTGGGAGGTGGGGGCGGGGAGAACTGATTAAGCTGAGAAAAGCCACCCAGAAGAGCCTGACCTTCTCTCCTCTCGCAGCCTGGACAGTTCCACCGGAGCAGACACGCTGCAGGCTCACATCCCCTCACGCTCACCAGCTGCTGCCCCTGCAATGGGACCTCCAGGAGCTTTCCTGGAATTACCACTTGGAAAATGGGAGCGAAGCCTTCCCGGTGAGCCTGCGCAGTGTCTGGCATGGGGTCTGTCCCGGGTCCTCTCACATCCCCCTTTTCCCGGTGTTGACTCATGTTCTCCAGGGCTGTCGCAAAGGGGGAACTGCTCCCCCGCCTCTGACGGTATCAGGGCTCTGGTTCTAATCTGCTCTTGGCTTTGTACAGGAAATGACTAACGAAAGAGAGCCTCAGAAAGGAGACCTATGGGAAAAGAGTTTGTCTCCATATCAGGTTCCTCTTTCCTTTTAAAGCAACCCCAATCCCAAAACATGATCTTCGAACTGGCTGAATTTTTCCCCTCCCATTCCAGGGGTGGATCTTTAGGACCCTGCACTACAAACTTGATGGGAAACTTCGGTTTCTGGTTCAGATCTGTTTTTACCACTTGTATACGACAAGCCCAGTGACAACTGACCTTCACCACACAGTTTCCAAGAGGATTCTACTTTGTGTGTCGAGGAGCTCATGGAATAATAAAATCTGGGCATGACATGGAACACGGACAGATGGCAGAGGGATGATTCAGGATTTCAGCAATAGAAGAAGGGGTGAATTGCTGCTTGCTTGGCTTTAGCCATTGGTAAGTTACTGGGTTCATCTGAGTTGTCTTCCACACTCCCTTTGGAGTCATTCAGCACCCAAAATTAATTCCATGGAACTAATGAAAGAAAAGAAAAGCTGGAGTGAGGTGAGATGATTCCTATCCAGACTCACATGCATCTAGGAGCAGGGATATTCCTGCTGGGAACTGGCATGTGGGAGGGCCCTGGGACTACCTACTCTCCTCCTTGCTGATGCTGTGTTTGTGTCCCAAACTGTGCAATCTGCATCTCACATCCTCTCACCGAGCTGACCCTTTACAGTGTAAACAGATCATGATTCAGCATCTAAAGGGGCTCCAAGAGACAAGGGCATGGAGTGACAGGACAAGGGGGAATGGCTTCACACTGATGGAAAGCAGGTTTAGATTGGATATTGGGAAAGAATCATTCCCTGTGAGAGTGGCACTGAAACAGGTTGCCCTGAGAAGCTGTGGCTGCCCCATCAAGTCCTGTGCTTGATTAAAGAACAGAATTCCCTGGGATCTCTCATCCTCTGCTTCCCTGGGCAACATCCTGAGCATGTTCTCTAAAAATCTGGATTTCCCACTCAAGATTTACAAACATCGGTTGTTTGTTTATGTGAAGGCCGGGTTTATGTGTGTACAAAGGAAACCACGATGTGCAAATATTATGGCTCTGGTAGCAGCGTGGGGAAGCTGATATGTCCCCTGGCAGGAAGAGCTCATCCTCCTGGAGGATTCCTTCTGTACTTCCCAGCCTCTATTTCGGTCTCTTCTGGGTCTCACAGTTTGTTCCATGGGCTTCTCCACCCCAGCACAGAATTCCTCTTTCCCCCAGCTGTCAGCCCCTCTTTGCCAGTCTGTCTGACCTCGGAGTGCTGGTCACCACAGCACTTTCCTCTTTTCCCATCCCTTCCTGCCTCCCCAGTCAAACCTCCTTGGAGGTTTAAGCTTGGTCCCTTGGAGGATGAAGGTTTGGCTGCTGGATGATGCTGCCAGCAGCATTTGGATTTTCTCTCCATCCCTGTGGCACAGGAGGACCCTGAGCCAGAGGGAGCTGAAAACATGATTTCTGTCCCTCACCGTCATCTCCTCTGGTCTGGGGGCTTTTGAGGATCAAGGTGGTGAGAACAGGAGCACAGATGAGACAGGACTTTCTGGGCCACATCATTTCAGCGTGATGAACTACCTGGCAGCATGAGGAGACTGTCACAACTGTCACTTTAGAAATAAGCACAGGCAGCCCATGAGCCAGAAGGGGAAGGAGCTGCAGTCCCCAGTGAATTACAAGGAAAAAAATTATTATTTTATTTAATAATTTAAATATAAGTTTGAGGTGGGAACCAGCCCTGCTCCTGGGAATCTCAAGTATCCCCTTGTCCTGGGGATGCACAGCTCATCCAGACAGGCAAAGGCTCTGCTCCCACTGTGCAGAGGTAGGGCTGCCTCTCTTCTAGTGCCAGTCTGCACCCACAGGGATTTAAGCAGCAGTTCCCACCACAGGGGTCTCACCCACCTCTTGGGGATCAGCCCTGTCTTCAAAGACCCTCTGTAGAGCCACTCTGACGGATCCCCTGAGCCTGGGCTTCCCGTAGCTCCCGACCAGGACATAAATGACGGGGTTGGTGCTGCTGTTGACAGAGGCCAGCAACAGGCAGATCTCAGACATAAAGTTAATGTAAACAAAGAAGTGTCCAGCACTGCAGATGCCAGTGCCCTCTGCCAGCACTGCACGGGAAACTTCCCAAGGCTGCCATGCCCAAACGGTGCCAGGAGAGACCTGGCCCCCAGCACCACGGTGACTCCGTGCTGAGGGCCTGTCAGCAGTCCAGGCTGGCTCTGGCTCCCTGCCTCTCCCTCAGGAGCAGCCCCTGGGATGCCTGCCCTGGGTGTGAGCCCCAGGGTGGATGTGCCAGGGCTGGGTCATCCCTCTGAGGGCAGCAGAAGGTCCTGCCCCAGTGCCACCCCCACGGGACAGGCGCCACAGCCCCGTTTGCTGGTTCCTTCAGACACTTCCTCTTTGCAGACCTGGTGTCACGTTGAGCACAGAATTTTCATCTTCCTCCTCATTTGCTTCTCCTCTGTGCCTGGTGGCAACATCCCTGAGGTGTGTTCATGGAATCCTGGAATGGGTTGGAAGGGACCTTGAGGACCATCCAGTTCCAACTCCCTGCCGTGGGCAGGGACACCTTCCACTAGCCCAGGTCGCTCCAAACCCCGTCCAACCTGGCCTTGGACACTTCCAGGGATGGGGCAGCCACAGCTCCTCTGGGCAACCTGTGCCAGGGCCTCACCACCCTCAGGGGAAGAATTTCTTCCCAATATTCAGCCTAAACCCACCCTCTGTAAGTGTGAAGCCATTTCCCCTTGTCCTGTCACTCCACATCCCTCTCCATCTCCTTCTCAGTTGGTGGGGAAAGTACAGCCTGCAGCCATTAAGCAATATTACGCATGTTTGTGAATAATGTTAAATATTTGGTTAAAATGATGTTAATGTGAAGAGTAAATGATGAATAGATATTAAGATAGTAATTAATAATACTAGTAGTAAACTTCTAAAGTGCAGGTGGTAAATAATAAACTGTGGGTGGTAGGTAATAAACAGTACATAGTAAATTAGGCAATAAATTGCAAACAATAGATGGTAAGCAATAAATAGCAATAAGTAATAAATAGTAAATATGAAGAGCAAATAACAAATCTGGGAGGAGTGGCCTTAAATGGAAAGATAGATTTAGATTGGATATTAGGAAGAAATTCTTCCCTGTGAGAGTCTGGCACAGATTTCCCAGAGAAGCCGTGGCTGCCCCATCCCTGGAAGTGTTCAAGGCCAGGTTGGACAGGCCTTGGAGCAACCTGGGCTGGTGGAAGGTGTCCCTGCTACCAAAGGGGTGGGAACAGGTAAAAACAACCACAAGTGCTCCCAACCCTGAGGGGGAGGAGGATGTGCTGCTGGTGAAGTGCTGGGATGGGGATCACAGCACCCCGAAATCTGGTCTCCAGTAGCTTTCACTGCATCATTAAGGGTATTAGCAGTAATTAATCTGGGGTGTAAGGGCTCATAACCTGGCTGCAAACAACAGCTTGCTGTCCTTCACTTGGGCTGTCAGGGCCTGCATTAGGATGGTAAAAACTGGAATTCTTGGCTCCAGTTTGCAGGTGTGTTCCCTTGGGCCCAGGGGAGGTTTTGGCAATGATCCCCGTGCTCTTCCTGGAATGAGAGTTGCTTCTGAGAAGCACCCAGCTGCCTCTCCAGTGCTGCCAGTACTGCCAGTACTGCCAGCACTGCCAGCACTGCCAGCATTCCAGCACCACCAGAACCCCTCTGCTGCCAGAGAGGTGGTGACCCCCCAGGGATGCTGAGGTTGGGAGAAAAATGATGAATGGCCAAAACCTGCCTGGAGAGGGAATGCAGTGGGAGAACAGGAAGTTCTCTGGGGGAGGGGGTGGGGGGAGAGTGTTTCTAATCAGAAGTAAATGAGGAGCCATTCACAAAACTCTTCATGGGGAGCTTTTGGCAGAAGCCACTTCCTTTGTGGCAAAAAAAAAACCAAAAAAACCCAACCCAAACAAAAAATAAATTCAAACAAGATAAATAACCCCAAGGAAGTGCAGCTCTGACGTAGCCAAAGTTACAAAACCGTTTCAGACTCCCCTGTGGCCCCACTGCTCCTGAGGGAACAACACCAGGACAGGACACGGAGAGGAGCCAGGGATCCAGGGACTTTCTTCTTCATGTAACTGTCCTGGGAGGATCTGCTCTAGGATATGGATCCAAAAGGAGCATGAGATTTCAAGAAGCGCTGCTGATCTGGACAGAAAATCTTCGCCTGCTACTTCCCCACAGCGAACAGTTAAGTGAAATGTTTTCCTTCCTCCCTACCCCACCTTCCTCTCCTCCACATCCACAGCATGCGGCTCTGTTCCTCCCACCCTCTCCCAGTGACCACAGTGCTGGTCCCCCCTCCTATTTACCTCCTGCATGTCCTGTCAGCATCCCAGCCCTCCCACCTCCCTCTCCCACCCCACAGTGTCTGCCGGCTCCCTCCCAGCACATCCCACTTCTCTGCCCTGAATTCTTCCCAGTGCAGGGAGCTGGTCAGGAGCCACATGGTTCATCCCTGGATTCTCCAACCTCTAACTCTCCATCCACTCTGACCACAGACGGGGACCGCGTCCCACCACCCACCCAGCGTCCATCCATGGAAGTGAGCCACGTGTCCCCACCTCCCACCTCACCTGCTGAAGGAGATGATCCCTGTGGGATAGACGTCACCGACATGGCCATAGATGGTGTCACCCTGCTCATTGGCTTCTGCGGGCTGCTGGGGAACGGGGCTGTCCTCTGGCTCCTCGGCTTCCACATCCGCAGGAACCCCATCACCGTCTACATCCTCAACCTGGCCGTAGCTGATTTCACCTTCCTGCTCTTCGTCACCACCTCATCCCTGCTCTACATGGTGGACAATGCATCCTGCTCTCCTGTCGTGTCCCTCAGGTACCTGAGGTCGCTCCTCCTGCTCTCTCTCTTCTCCCACAACATGGGGCTGTACCTGCTGTCAGCCATCAGCATCGAGAGGTGCGGGTCCATCCTGTGCCCGCTCTGGTACCGCTGCCACCGCCCCAGCGCCTGTCAGGGGTGGTGTGTGCCCTGCTCTGGGTCCTCTCCGTCGCTGTCATTGCCACGGTGACGTCCCTGTGCCTCTTGGATGAGCACGAGCCCTGCCAGATGTCTCTCATCTCCATGTACGTCCTCAGCCTCCTCTTTGCTCTGCCCATGGTCATTTCCAGCACAGTCCTCTTCATTCAGGTCAAGTGTGGCTCCCAGCAGCAGCAACACAGGAGGCTCCACATCGTTGTCTTCCTCACTGTCATCTTCTTCCTCATCTTTGGGGTTCCTCTCAGCCTCTTACATTTCCTGCAGCAGCTCAGCTACACTGTCGTGTCCTCCCAGGTTGTTTTTCTGCTCGCCTGCATCAACAGCAGCATCAAACCCTTCACTTACTACCTGGTGGGGAGCTGCTGGAGGCGCTGTTCCCTGGTGTCCCTCCAGACCTCCTTCCACAGGCTCTTTGAGGAGACCGAAGAGAACACTGCCTGCAGCAATGGTGCCAGCATGGACACAGTGGTCCCTGTCGAAGGACCCCGGGACAGCAGCTGAGGGTTTCCCTGAGTCACCAGATTAATAAATATCCACGGTATTTCCCCCAGCGTCACCCTTCTGCAGTGTAATCCCGCCAGAAAGAGGAGCAGGCACATTGCCAAGGGCAGCGTGGGAGGGATGCTCTGCAGGGAGCGTGTTGGAGCACGGCTTTCTCCTCCCTCCCTGGTCCTAGGACACTCTTCCTCCAAGGGAATCATGCCCCACAGGGCTGTGATCCCAAAAATCCCCCTGGTGCATGGTTCCTGCATGCCGCTGTGGTCTGATATCAATAAACAGCTTTGTGAACCCTGAGTTTGCCGGCTTTCTCTGGCTCCTGCTGCCAGCCGGGAATGTGGGTAGAGGGAGGGGACACACACATGGAGGGAGGGGACACACTCATGGCTCGTGCTCCCTGGAGCACAAATGATCCCGACAGCTGGGACTGCACCAGCACCCCCGGCATGGACAGGATGGCCCGGGGCTCAGTGTTCCACCCCCAGACTGCTCTGTGAGCGTCACAGAAAAGATATCCCCAAACATCTTTTCACTTTTAATTTTGTGAACCAGGTGTAAGTGTAAAGGACTCTTTTCCTTCGGAAATTCTCCCTCTAGCCTGGCTTCAGCTTCTCCTTCAGCAGACTGGGATGGTGCAGCAGCAAAGGGAGGGGGAGTTCGCGGTCCCTAGCCCGGCTACCCAGTGACACAGTGTGTTTGTCACCACGGGCTCCACGGGGCATTTCCCAGCTCCCCTGTGGCTTTGCCGAGGTCACCAGCCCCCCCAAAACCCACACCTTCTCAGCACATCCCACACTTCCCCTCCAGCCCCATCACATCCCACACATTCCCACTACGTCCCACACCTTCCTACCAGCCCCCACATCCCACAGCCCCCATACCAACCCCCAGCGCCGCTTCCCCATGCCAATCCCACCATGTCCTGCCCCCTGATGCAGCTCCCCCCAACTCCATCCCTGCTCCCGACGCTGCAGTCCCTCCCCACGGGGCTGCTTGCCCCAGGACGCTCCGTAAGGTTTTGGGGGGCTGTCTCTCTTGGAGAGTCCCCACACACTCAGAACTTCACCCCCGTTATATCCAGCCCGCCCCAACTTCCCTGGGAAAGGAACAAGAGGCGGCGGAGGGATAGAGCCAGCGGCGTTTATTGGGGTGGAGGACCGGGAAGGGGCCGGGAGGAGCCGGGACGCTCCCGGGTGGGGTGGGGCAGGAGCGGGGCTGTCGGGCACCGCCCGGGGGGAAAGCGACCCCTGGAAGGGGGCTCTGGAGGGTATTGGGGAGGCTTGGAGGGTGTCGGGAAGGCGTCTGTAAGGTGTAGAGGGGGTCTGGAGGGTGTAGAGGTGGTCTGGAGGGTGTCGGAGGGGGTCTGGAAGGCGTCGGGAGAGGATCTGGAGGGTGCCAGGAGAGTCCTGGAGTGTGCCATGGGGGCGTTGGAAGGTGTCTGAAGGTTGTCAGAGTGTGTCTGAGGGGGTCAGGAGGGTGTCGGAGGGGGTCTGGAGGTGTCGCGGGTGCGTGGATGCCGCCCGACCCGTGTCCCTTCGCTGGAGGGCAGCAGAGCCCGACGGGCCGGCCTCGGAGCCGGGGAGCGGCCCCGGCCGGGAACCTGCGGGGTGGAGCGGGACCGGCACGGGACAGGGATGGGGACAGGCACAGCGTGGATCAGGACGGAGTGGGGATGGGATCAGGGATGCATGCCGACACACAGCTGCGCGGAGGTGACCTGCGGGGGCCTGGCTGGGAGCGAGGGTGGGCGGCTGAGCGTGAAGCCGGGCTGGGCAGCGCAGCCAGTGGGACCGCAGTGGCCCCTTAGCTGGAGGTCGTGGTGACCACCGTCTCCTCAAAGACCCTCCGGAAGGCGACCTGGAGGGACACCAGGGAACAGCGCCTCCAGCAGCTCCCCACCAGGAAGTAGATGAAGGGGTTGGTGCTGCTGTTGATGCAGGCGAGCAGGAAAACAACCTGGGAGGACACAGAGGTGTAGCTGAGCTGCTGCAGGAAATGTAAGAGGCTGAGAGGAACCCCAAAGATGAGGAAGAAGATGACAGTGAGGAAGATAACGATGTAGAGCCTCTTAGGTTGGCGTCGCTTGGAGCCACAGAGGACCTTAATGAACAGGATCACATTGGAGATGACCATGGGTGGGGCAAAGATGAGGAAGTTAAGGACAAACATGGAGATGAGAGACGTCCGGCAGGGCTCGTGCTCATCCAAGAGGCACAGGGACGTCACCGTGGCAATGACAGTGACGGAGAGGACCCAGAGCAGGGCACACACCACCCCTGACAGGCGCTGGGGGCGGTGGCAGCGGTACCAGAGCGGGCACAGGATGGACCCGCACCTCTCGATGCTGATGGCCGACAGCAGGTACAGCCCCATGTTGTGGGAGAAGAGAGAGAGCAGGAGGAGCGACCTCAGGTACCTGAGGGAAACGACAGGAGAGCAGGATGCATTGTCCACCATGTAGAGCAGGGATGAGGTGATGACGAAGAGCAGGAAGGTGAAATCAGCTACGGCCAGGTTGAGGATGTAGACGGTGATGGGGTTCCTGCGGATGTGGAAGCCGAGGAGCCAGAGGACAGCCCCGTTCCCCAGCAGCCCGCAGAAGCCAATGAGCAGGGTGACACCGTCTATGGCTATGTCGGTGACGTCTGCCCCGCACGGATCATCTCCTTTGGTGTCCATCACGGGAGATGTGGGAGCTGGGGATGTCTGGTTCAGGCTCCATGGTGGAAGGTGGAATGTGCTCCCTGGCTGTGGTCAGAGCAGGCAGAGAGTTAGTGGGGCCCCAGGGGATGTGACAGGGACAGGGGTCCTGGTGATGTGGCAAAGCAGGACTGGGGACGGGGCGATGGGAGGGCTGGGGGTGTGGGTGGAGAGAGGGTTGGAGGGGCTCCCTTCACCCCAATTAGGGACACCCATGGGAGCAGTGAGGGGGCTGTGGGGAGATCTAAGGAGACTCTGGTCCCGACCCCTTCCCTTTCCCTGCAGCAGCCCAGAGCTGACCTGCCTGTGCGTCTTAGCTCTCCTTGCCACAGTCTTCTCTGGTGAGGAGGTGTGGGGTCTCCACGTCCTCAGAAGCTCCGAGCAGCCCGTCTCTCCCCAAATAAAGCTGCTTTTCGGGGCGTTTCTGCACAGTCACAGGTCAGGCAGTGAGAGCACTGGGCTGTCTCTTCTCCCGTCAAATTTCTGTTGGTCTTGCGGGAAAGGAAATGTTTTGTCCGAGCGAATACCCCAGAGGATGAGCACTGCAACAGTTACATCTTGCTGTGAAAGAATCTTGATGCTTTTAGGATTCAACCTGATATCTCATTAGTCTGGTAATTACCACCTTCCTAATTGTTTTATGGTGCTCCAGTCTCCTCTCCCCATCCTGCCCCGCTGCTGGCATCCTTCTGAGATTGTTCATTACTGTGTGCATTTGCCTTCCAGCCTCCCGGCATGAGAATCACTGCTGTGTCCCCTCCAACTTCATCCTGTGTCAGGCCTGGGTGAGAATTTGCAATTTAGTGCTCCAGCCATCAGTTTGGACTCACCCTAGCTGGTCTGGGGGCTCCAGAACTCTCCTGACTGACTGGTACCCACCAAGCCCAGAGGGGCTGGTGGCAGATGAGCTACAGGGCTGCAGGGATGTTGGGGAACCACACACATGATTCCCCCATCCCTCCCTGCACCCCTAGACCAGAAGCACCCATTCACTCCCACAGGGTTTTGCGGTGGCAGAAGATGGCACTGACTGGAGGGGAGGTGGTTCTGGGGACCTCCAAGCAGGGGTGTGGGGGGAACATAATCTCTCCTTCCTCCTCAGAGCAGCACTGGCTGCCCCCCATGAGTGTCAGTGGGGACCACCCCCAGCACCATCAGTGCTGGTTTGGGATATCCACAAGTGAAGTGGGGTGTCACAGCCTGTCCCCACCAGTGTGTTGGGGTCACCAGAAGAAGTTGGGGGCGGGGGGCTGCCCCCCTCACTCTCTGGTGCTGAGCTGAGCTGGGCACCAGAGATTGCTGGCAGGGCTTGGCCCAGCATGGCAAGGCACAGGCGTGACGTGTGACGTCAGGGGTGGCTCTGGTGGCAGGGACGTAGCAGTGAGTCACCCCCCCTCGTGCCTCCCTCCACCCCTGGACTTTGCCTCCTGTGGATGCTCAGGGCAGTAAAACCCGGGCTCGGGGTGGGAACGGGGTGCCTGGGAGGGCCCACGGGTGTGTTTGCACACACAGGCACAGGAATGTGGGCCGTGCAAGCACGAGTGTGCAGGAGGAGCCGCACGGAGCGTGCCAGGAGGAGCTGGGGGGCTGCCCGTGTGGGATGGGGTCACCCGTGGGGTGGGGTCACCCGTGTCCCTGCGTGTGCAAGAGGCAGCCACGTGTGTGCACGGGCGGGCGTGTGAGGGGGAGTTGCACCCGCAGGAGGGACGTGGACCTGGGAAGAGTACGCCTCTCCTGCCGGGAGGAGGTCATGGGAGGTGCGCGGGGACACCCACGCGCGTGTCCCCGCCGCTGTCACCTCCACGGCCCCAGCCCCGAGCGGCGCCGCGGGCGGGCCCGACGGGCGGGTGGCGGCCGCACCCTGGACCGGGCGGGTGCTTCCCACCGCCCCGTCCTCATCCCTGTCTCCGCCGAGGCCAGGCAGGCTCCACGGCCCCACTGGACAACCCCATGCAGCGGGAGCGCGGGGGGCAGAGCCCAGGATCCCCCGAAACCGAGGTCAAGGTTGTCGTCGTGGGGGACGGGGGCTGCGGGAAGACATCGCTGCTGGTGGCCTTCGCCAGGGGGGACTTCCCCAAGGTAGCGGGCTCCCTGTGCCCTGTGCCAGCCCCGGCGGGACACACCGGTGGGGGGGAAGGGTGACTGTCCCCGTGCAGGAGCGGCGACAGGGATGGGAGGGTCGCGGTGGCAGCAGTGGGGACGTTTGCAGTGGGACATGGGGACGTTGGGGGACTGGGGAGGGGGTGGCCCAGCCTGGGGCTGATGGGGGTCTGCGGCAGACCCCCCTCGGTGGGTGGGTGGGCATCTCTGCCTCACCTGGGGGGTCACAGGATGGGGAGCGGGATTTGTCCCTCAGCGAGGGCACCGACGGGACCCGGGGTGTCTGTGGAGGGGGGAGCAGCTGTGGAGATCCCAGAACGTCTCTCTGGAGCTCCGAGTCCCACCGGGACATCCAAGAGGTTCAGTAGTGCCCTGGGATGGGGGTCAAGGACGGTGCCGACCCCACCTGCGCCGGCAAGGCACCACCATCTGCTGCCCCCTGTTCCTCTCTCCTGGGTACCTCCTCGTGCCCTGCCCTGTCCCCATGGGATGCCCACCACCGCTGCCTGTGGGACCTGTCTCACACTCTCCCTGTCCCCTACCAGGTCTACGTCCCCACCGTGTTCGAGAAGTACACGGCGTCCCTCCAGGTTGCCGGAAAGCCCGTGACGATCCACCTCTGGGACACAGCAGGTGGGACAGGAGGGGACAGGGCGGCTAGTTGTGCCCCCCGCCCTCCCATCCAAGCGTTTTGGTGTGTCCCACACCCCTGGGTCGTGCCTCGGAGGGGTGTCCCCATGCAATGACCGTGGGAGAGGAGGGGTTAACAGAAGATGTCACTCTCAGGGTCCCAGCGTCGGGGGACAGGGGAGGGAGCACGGCGGAGGAGGGGGGACCCAGTCCAGAAAGGAACTGGTGTATAATGGTCTGCTCCTCGGCCCGGCAGGACAGGAAGACTATGACAGGCTTCGCCCGCTGTCCTACTCAGACGCCAGCGTTGTCCTCATATGCTTCGATGTCACCGACCCCAGCAGCTTCGACAACATCCTAACAAAGGTGACACATCACGGGGGCTGCTGGGGCTGCTGCCTGTCCCTATCCCCGGGTGACGTGTCCCCGTCTGTGCCCGTTCCCTGTCCCTATCCCCGGGTGACGTGTCCCCGTCTGTGCCCGTCCCCTGTCCCTATCCCTGGGTGATATGTCCCCCTCTGTGCCCGTCCCCTGTGCCTGTCCCTGGGTGAGATGCTCCCCTCTGTGGTCATCTCGTGTCCCCATCCCTGGATCACCTGCTCCCCTCCACACTGGTCCTGCGTCCTCATCCGTGGGTGACATGTCCCGCTCTTCCTCCATCCCCTGTCCCTCTCCCTGGGTGACGCGTCCCCTCTGCAGTGGTACCCGGAGGTGAATCACTTCTGCAAGGGAGTCCCGGTGCTGCTCGTGGGCTGCAAGACGGACCTGCGGCAGGACGAGGAGACGCTGCGGAAGCTGCGGGATGGACGGATGGAGCCCATTTCCCGCCAGCAGGTGACTGCCACCCTCCGACGGGATGGGGGAGTGGGGCACCCGGGCTCCTCGTGGGGGATCTGACTCCTGTGTCTCCCCGCAGGGAGAGGCCATGGCCCGGCAGGTCCGCGCCGTGTCCTACATGGAGTGCTCGGCCAGGTACCAGGAGAACGTCGGGAACATCTTTGTGGCAGCCAGCAGCGCTGCCATGAGTGCCACCCGCCGGAGGCAGCGCGGGAGGAGAGCCTGGAGGGGCTGCGTGCTCCTCTGAGCCCCCTGGCACCGCACAACCCCCGGGACCTCCCGCTGCCCCCAGCCCTGAGCGCACCGCGGCTCCCAGCTGCTGCCACGCCTCTGCCGACACCGCCGCGATTCCGCTGCCACCGCGGCCACCCTCCTGCCCCGGGGCTGGCACTGCCGGGCACCGGGGGGTGCCAGCAGGAAAGCGTCCCCCTGGCGTGAAGAAACTGCCCCGCCTGGATCTCAGTGTCTTGTCCCAGCACGGATCCCCATGTCCTGTCCCAGTGGGCATCTCAGCGCCCTCTTTAGGGATCCCTGCATCCTGTTCCACCTGGAATCCCAGCATCCTGTCCCTGTCCCAGCAGGGATCCCAGTGTCCTGTCCCACCTGGATCTCAGCGTCCTGTCTCTGTCCCACTGCGGATTCCATCGTCCCGTCCCTGTCCCACCAGGGATCCCAGTGTCCTGTCCCTGTCCCACCAGGGATCCCAGTGTCCTGTCCCTGTCCCAGCAGGGATCCCAGTGTCCTGTCCCACCAGACACCACAGTGTCCTGTCCCTGTCCCAGCAGGGATCCCAGTGTCTTGTCCCTGTCCCACCATGGATCCCAGTGTCCTGTCTCTGTCCCACCATGGATCCCAGTGTCCTGTCCCTGTCCCACTAGGAATCCTAGCACCTGAGCATCCTCTGCCAGCCGGGCCCTGGGAGCAGAGAACTGATGTGAGGGATTCCCCTTCCCCCTGGCAGGCCAGCTCGGGGAGTGACACGGGCTGGTGACCGCGGGACACTTGTGCCATTAAAGTGACACAGCACTTGTCAGCGTGACACTGTCCCTGCGGCAGGAGCAGCCCTGGCACGGCCTGGGCGTCGGGACATGGGGGGGAGACAGGGACACGGGGTGGGTGTTGGGGACACAGGGCAGGTGTCAGGGACACAGGGTGGGCACGGGGGTGGGAGACAAGGACACAGCGTGGGAGATGGGGACACAGGGTCCCGCCACGGATCTGGGATGGATGGGTGGCCTCTGGAAAGGGGTTACCTGCTGATTTGGGGCTGGGGCGGGTGTGAGTGTGTGCAGGGGTGTGCAGGGGTGTGCAGGTGCTGTGCTGCACATACGTAAGTGTGTACACGTGTGTGTATGTGTTCTACATGTGTGCACGTGTGTGCTGCACCCGCATTCTGTCCGTGCTTACATGCCTGCATTTTATATATCTTATAGTTGTAAATATATTATAGTTAGTTTATAAATATATATATGTTATACGTGTAACTATACCTATAAGTAGTTACTTTCAAACTCTTTGTATACCTATATTTCTTATATATATAACTAGAACTGTATATAGTTTGTAACTACATATACATAATTAGAACTATATATAGTTTCTAACTATTGTTGGCTTAGAGTTAGTTTATAAGTAACTATATATAGTTATAACTATATATATATATAGTTAATATATATATAGTTATATATATATAGTTATAACTATATATAGTTAATATATATAGTTTTTACATATAAATATGCAACTATAATAACCATATATAACTATAATTAATATAGCTTATAAGTATGCAATGTAGTTATAAATTATGTATAGTATATATACTATATGTATTCTATACCTATATGTAGTTACTTTGTAACTATCCATATAACTATTTATTATATATAACTGTAACTGAACGTAGAACTGCATATTGTTAGCTTATAGCTATATATACTACTATATATAACTGTAGTTATAACCATTTATGGTTAATATAAATAGTTTACAACTATATATATGTAACTATACCTACATACAGGTAGTTTAGAACTATATAACTATATTTATTATATGTATAACTGTACACATAACTATAACTGTATATTGTTAGCTTATAACTATGGATGTTATATATATAACTCTATATAGTTTATAACTATGGATATTATATATATAACTCTATATAGTTTATAACTATGGATGTTATACATATAACTCTATATAGTTTATAACTATATTGTTGGTATCCGTAGCCCATGCCTAAGCAGTTGTATGTGGACTGTGTGTAATGTGTGCGTGTGTAGCTGTCCGTGGTTGCACGTAGTTACATGTAGATACACGTGCGTGGCCGTGTCTCGGCACGCAGACCCCCGTACAGGTGTGCACAGGTGTGCGGACAGCGCGGGACCCCCAGGGCCGGTGCGGGACCCCCAGGGCCGGTTCCAGTGGCCGGTCAGGACCCCCTCCCAGCCCCCCAAAATCCCACCGCCCCTTCCCTACCGCCCCCCCGCGAGGGGCGTGGCCACGGAGGGGGCGTGGCCGCTCGGCAAAGTGGGCGTGGTGAGCGAACGGGGAGGGGGCGTGGCCACCGCGGAGCCGCGCAGGCGCGCGGCGGGGCGGGGCGGTGGGGGCGCGCGGCGCATGCGCGCGGGGGCGGGCGGCGGGGGCGGCGGTGCGTGCAGGCGCGTGCGCGCGGCGGCGGTGTGATGTGAGGCTCTGACGGGTTCAAAATGGCGGCGGCGGCCCTGTGTGAGGAGGGGACCCGCTCCCGGCCGGGGGCGGCGCGGGGGCGCGGGGCGGGCGGGCCGGCCCGGGGGCGCGGCGGGGCCGCGGCACCGGGCGGCGGGGCGGGGGCGGCGGGGGCGGCGGCGCTGGCGGCGGGGACGCGGCCCGCGGCGGCGGGGGCGGCGGCGGCGCTGTCAGCGCCCGCTGCCCGCGCCGGGGGCGGCGGGGCCGGGGGCGGCGGGCGCGGGGCGCGATCGCTGCTGACCCGGGGCTCTTCCCTTCCTCCGTGTGTTCTGTTCCCCGTGCCGGCGGCAGAAGAGGACAAAGGCGCAGGAGAGACCTGGTGAGCACCGCGGGGGTCACCGGGCGCCCCGCGGGCGGGCGCGGGGCCGGGCGGGTCTGCCGGAGCGGGGCCCCGGGAGGCCGCGCAGCGAAGTTGGGGAGGGGGCGGCGGTGCCGGCTGACAGCTCCCCGGGGACCCTCCTGCCCCCCAGCGGGGCCGGCCCGGGCTGGGGGCGCTCCGAGGGCCAGGGGGTGTCCCCCGCGCCCCGCGGCGGGGCGAGCGCGCCGTGCTCCCGGTTGTCCGGTTGTTTATAAACAGAGTTCGGCAAGTGAGGGCGAACTGCCTCCCTCGGCCGAGCCGGGAGTCCCGGTGCCGGCGCTCGAAGGGAGGCAGGGGCGGGGAAGGTGCTGGCGGGACTGGGGATGATCTGCTGTCAAACGCGAGGACCGGGGAGGAGCAGGAGGGAACAAGTTCTCTGTACATGGTGGTAGCGGATCTGTAATGGTACACGGGGTGGCAGACCCACTTCCCCGACCCCCTTTTCCCTACCCCCTTTCCCCGACCCCTTTCCCCTGAAGGTCTGGCTCAGGCATAGTCCTGGGGATTAAGAGCTTCGATATACCCGGGCTTTGGTTCCTTCCTGTCCATTAAAAAAAAAAAAAAAAAAAGAGCGTAGGTGCCATCTGACGCCTCGGGTGGTGTTCCCGGGTTGGTGTGTGGTGTCACCAGGTGGCACATTTGGAGATCGAAGCATTTAGGTCTTCTCAAGTCAGGAGTTAGGTCCCTGAGTGCTTCCCTGCTTGGGTGCTGCATGTAGGGGAGATCCTGTGTGCCTCCCCTGCTCGTGGGAGATGTGTGCTGGTGTAGCTTCTCCCAAATGCCATGGCAGAGGAGATCCCGAGGGCAGTGGTTGTGTTGTTTGGAGGAGTTGGTTGTCTGCGTTGTTTTGGGGAAGCCAGGCTGCTCCCTGACCGCCACTGAGGGTCTGACAGCACTCTTGTCCCACTGTGGGCCAGCGGGGCTGGTGTTTGGGCTGGTGGTAGAGCGGAGCAAAGGCCTTTTCCTGATGAGAGACTCGCAGGTCCTGTCACGTTACAGAGCAGCTGGTGAAGTCATTTACTGGGTCGTGCCTAAATTAGAATGGGAGCCTTCAAAGTTGGGGTCGGCTCAGCCACTGTGTTCTCTTAGCCCTGCACAGGGGGGTGGGGTCGGCCCCAAAAGGAGCAGGGGGGGTGGGAGTGTAGGTGTCCTGTGTCTCCATGTCCTGCTTCACTGTTTCCCTCTGGCTTCCAAGGAGGAAGAGGACGAAGACAGCAGTCCTGGCGTGTCCTTCTCGCTCTCTTCAGAGGAGTCGGAGATGGAGCCTGAGGAGGAGCGGATCCGTTACAGCCAAAGACTGGTCAGTATTGGCCCTAAACAATCTTATCCCGGTCTGGGTTCTCTTGGAACTGGAGAAGGAGAAGGCTTTTCCTGGCAGCAGGGTTGAACAGCCCAAGCAGGCTCGTGGTGGATGGCTGCAGCCTGCCCAGAGCGGAGCTTGCCTGGCAATGGCTCTGTGGGTCCTTTTGTGTCACCGAGGTTGAAGGGAGTTTGGCTGTTGAGCTCTGGAAGAGGGGAGGGTTGGAGGTTGAGTGAGGAGCTGTGGGATAAGGACATGAAAGAAGTATCAGTGTAGTTTGTCACTACAGGTGTTGTCTGTGTGTCTGGAACGAGGAGAGGAGTTGAAACATTGTGGGTGACCGTTCTATGGGCCTTGGTTTGAGTGTGCTGTGAAATCTGAGAAAGCTTGAGCCTGAAGCTGGTTTTCTTGTGCCTGTGTCTTCTCCCACTGTGTTCTTTTGGAGGGAGCTGCTCCAGCAGTCAGGCCCCAGTTAGGCCCTGTCAGGAGCTGTGGCTCGTCTGGTGTTTGTGCTGCTGTTTGGGGGCACTGCGTGAATCCCATGGCTTGGGAGCAGCTGCTCTGAGAGTCTGAGATGATGTTCCCAGAGATCCCAGGGAAGCTCCTGTGTGTCCCACACGGTTTTGAGGCAGTTGTAATCCCCCAGGAAGGGCAAGTGACAGCTCTGTGATGGAGTTGCTCTCTGAGTCACAGCACTACCTGTTCCCTCCCCTTCAAGATGCTGCTGCCCATAAAGGTAAATCCTTATCCTTTAATACTCTGGACTCATTTGGTGTGAGGCCATGTGGTATTTGGCATTAAGCATTGCCTTTAGTTCTGGGTGCTGGCCATGGAAAGGGTGCTGGGGAGCTCCCAAGTGTTTTGGGGGATGTTTTAACTTGGCAATAGCAGCAATCCCACTTTCTTTCTCATCCTGACACACTGGTTCCCACAGTGTGCAGGACACAACCCAAGGTGCTGGTTTGACTGGGGAACGACCCAGGACTAACCCAAAACCTCTGGATAAAGACACAGCAGGTGAAGGGGACTATCAGCCACGAATTTACTGGCTTAAAAATGCTTCTAATCTGTCAAATACAAATTAGGGAGAGTTGGTGTCCTGGTGCAGGTGGGCCGGGCTCCAGCAGAATGTGCTAAGCTGGATAAATGCCTGTACACTGATGAGCTTGGTGCTTAAGGGGTTTGGGAAGGCACGAGGGCAGCAAGCAGAGGATGAGACTCACCTGGACTTGTATGTGTGTTCTCTGTGCTGGCCTGTGGCCCAGAGGAGGAGGCATGACCCCTGTGTAGTAGAGGAGCTTTACCTCATGCCTTGCTTTTCCTGCAAACTTTCAGCTCATTCCATGCTCTCACTGTGTTGGTGATGCTCCCTTGTTGAAGGGCCTTTAAGAGATGATTATTTTTCTCCTGTAAAGCGTGACTTGAATTATCCAGGAAGGCAAAAGTGCTGAATATGACTTATTGGAATATCCTGTGTATGCCTTCGACTTAGGAGCTGGCTTTAGTAGGCCTAAATGAAAAGTTCCAGGTAGGGAAGCAGGTAGTTGGTTAGTACAGTGTGTTTCTAGTGCTGACAGCTGTGTGTGACCGGAGTTCAGTGTGTGTGTGTGACAGCAAAAACAAAACCAAAAAAATTTAACAAAATCATCTCAGTAGCCAAACAGCCTGGGCTAGAATAGTTTCTAGCAGTGAAGTTGATGAATTAATTGCATGTTTTGATGGCCTGAGATGGCAAAAAAAGTTTGTTTCCTGGTGTGTCATGTAATCACAGCAACAGCATCTTTTTCCTGACTGGTTTCCATCAGGATATAGAGGAAGTCTTGAGTGTTTTGTGTTATTTTATTTAGTTTGCAATACTGTTGCCTTTCTCTGGTTCAACAAAAATCTGACGCGTGTCTATTTTCTGAATGAATTTGTCAGTGTTGGGAGAGATCTGAGTTTGGAGGAGAATTCACCTCTGCTCCGGGTGTAGTCTCACTCCTACAGGAATTTTCTACCAGTTCACACATCCCCCTGTGGCATAATGACAGATTAGGTGGGTTGCACTGCTCTGACTTGTGCTTGCTCCCAAGTTCAGACTCTGTATCCATGACTCCCAGGATTATAAAGGCCTGGGTGAGTTTCTCAGGATGCAGGGATGTCACTGGGAGGATGCCTTGCACCCATCCAGAACAAACCGTGGGAGAAGCTGTGTCCTGGTGAGGCTCACACAGGCAGCGGGTGATGCTGTGTGAGGGTGGAGGGGACACTCATGGATAATCCTCACCCGGAGATTAAGGCTGAGCAGTGGAGGATGGGACTTGCAGGAGTCGTTTTCTCCTAATTGTCTGTAAATGTTCTCCTCAACTCCCTAACGAGGCAGTCCTTCTGAGGTGCCAGCTTTTCAGGCTGGGGTTGTGTGTTTTGCAGGCCCTTAATGGAGGAGCTGAAATGCTCCATTGTGTCCTGTGCCTGAGTGACAGTCCAGCCCTGGCACTAACAATGCCACGGTCCCTCTCAGAGACTTGGAAGTCTTCGCTGGCTGTCACTGGGTGGTTGCACCCAGCCCATGTCATACCAGGCTCCCCACGCGGAGCCTGGGCTTCCCAAAGGCAGGAATAAAGAAGTTGGGTCAGCCTGGTGCTGTGTTTCCTCACAGAGTCTGCCTGTCCTTCTGCAGGGGTGTCACTGCGTGTTCCTGGGTGCTGGAAGTGTGAGGAAATCTCTCCTTCTCCCTGCTCCAGGGCTCCCTTTGCCAGGCCTTTGCTGGGAGCTAAGAGTAGCAAGACCCTGTGAATTGCAGGCCGGGATTAGCACATCACCAGAGTGATGCTGTGAGCTTTCAGTGACAATGATCAGGGTGAGGAATGAAGGGCAGCAGCACTGGATCACTTTGGAATGGCTTGGGAGCACAGCAGGAGAGTGCTGTTACCCAGAGGACAGATCCTGCCCGTAGTGGTCTCCCCGCTGCTGTCAAGTCAGTAGTCTGTATGTCAGGGCGTGGTTCCCAGTTAGGATTGCCGGGGTGGCAGAGCTGGTTTAAGAGGTTTTCTCCCTCCCTCAGTCAGTGCCTCGGGAGCTGATGCCCCTGAGCTGAACGCTGCCCCAGGGAATTAGGGATCCTGGCCTTGGATGGAAGTTGGCAGTGGGGAAGCACCTAATCCAAATCGTTGTCTGTGCTGGAGTAGTGAATTACCTGCCCCATCAGCAAACCTGCCGAGGCTGGAGAGGTGGGAGTGTGAAATGGGGAGACAGGGTGGAGTAGGAACCTCTTCAACTGGCTTTGCTGCTGGAGAGAGCCCGAGGAGGAGCCTCGCCTTGCCTCGGGGCTGTGGGTGCTTGTGGGGCTGAGCCACAACTCTGAGGGTGCTGGGGTGCTGCCCCCAAATGACCATCCCTGTCTGGGTGCAGTGTCACCCTTATTTTGTTTGTGGGAGGTGGTTGTGACACCCATGAAGGGTGTTAAGTGCTGTGGAGCATTTGGGAGGTGAGAGGGGAGCCAGGGAGGAAAAGGCTGTCTCTCCCATGGCTCGGGACTGTCCTGTCCTGCCCTAGTACTGCCCTGCCCTCTGGTCAGATCCCTACGTGAGGATCTGAAATTTGAGAGGAGGCCTCTGCCTGTCTCTACCAGCCAAAACCTGAGGCCTCTCCTGTAAACAGCAGTTGCCAAACCTGTCCTTACATGTCGGTGTCCACACTCTCCCCTGGGAGAGAGTTCAAATGGGCTTCACAGCACGTGGAGGCCTCAGCTGAGGGATGAAGCTTGGGGAGTGTGGAGGACAAGATTTGTCCTCCAGCAGCTGTGTGAGTTGTGGAGTGATCCCAGGAGCGCACTGCCTGTGCCTGGGTGATGACACTGCTGGCTCTGATGGGTGCCCAGAGTCACAGCAGCTGGAATCCTGTGTTTTTCCAACTTATTTGTATTGGGGGTACCAAATCCTTTCTGCTGGATGGGGTGATGTCCCTGCTCTGCTGGACACACCTCAGTTTCCCAGTCTAGACAGGGCCCGTGCAAGGAGGGTAATTAATCTCTCCCACATGCCTCAAACTGGACACACTACAAATGAGTCACTGCAAATGACCCAGGTGTAATAATGGAGCTCTAAATAATTTAGGGACTGTTCAGATTTGGTCTGGGCAGGGCTTTGGTGGAAGCTAGCAGCGACTGAAGGCTGTTCTTGGAAAGCTTTGGAAATCCCTGGGAGCGTTTAGATCCTGTGAGATGCACGAGTGTGCTGGTCCATGGGAGAATATGTCCCTGAAGCCATTGGGATGTTCCATGTCAGCAGAAAGGGATGCAGGAGGTGAATATCTCTGCTGGATTCTTCCTATCCCAAACCTGGCTGTGCCTTGAGTGTGTCCTGGAAGCTGCAGTGCTGACTAAGCAAGGAGCCAGGCAGCACAGGAGCACTTCAAGTTACCTGTGAGTTACCAAACAAGTTTTTATGTCTCCTGTAGTAATCAGGAGTGGGTTTTCACGAGGTTATCCCAGCTGGAAGTGACATCAACAAGTCAGGAGAGCAGTTGCTGCACACCCAGTGCCTTAATCATGTCGGGAGCCACCCAGACAGGGACCTACAGGTCACTGGGTGGGTTTGGGAGAGAAATGGCACCTGTGGGGAAGTGGTGGTGTGCTCAGAAGGTGGAGAAACAAGGTGCTGCCCTAATCCTGTCCTCTGGAAGTGTGTGAGGGGAAGCAATTCCCTTCAGGATGAGATGTGTGATGCTGCTGCTGGTAAAAGCGTGTTGCTGATTCCGGAGGTGGGAATGATGAGTGAGCCTTTTGGGGGCTGTGAGGAACTTGGGTGTTCTTCTTCCCTTTCCAGTGGCCTGAACTCCCTGTGCTGCCCACTTTTGGACACTTGCAGATCTCCCTTGGCAAGGGCACCCATGATTTTTGGGGGGCCAGGGAGATAAACCTGGTGACAAAGTGTGGCCTGTGGATCCAGATGGATCTGTTGGGCAGGGATTCTGTCTGTTCCCTTTCTCTTTGTCCGTGCTTGTGCATCTGTGTTGCTGTA